TGGAAGTCGTGCTTATCTGGCTTGCTTACCTATTGGCTGACGCAGTTGCCAATTATGCTGTTGGTCTCATCTCCAACAGCCAACGCAACCAATCTGGCAATCCTGACCAGCAAAGGCCCCAGGAGAGTAGTGATCTTTTAGCATTCTGGGCGCCCTTTCTCTTAGTACACCTTGGTGGCCCTGATACCATCACTGCTTTTGCTCTTGAAGATAATCAACTCTGGCTACGGCACTTGCTTTCCCTTGGTTTTCAAGCCGGAGCTGTTATTTATGTCTTCTTCCAGTCACTTCCCAATAAAAATCTATGGATCCCCACAGTACTCATGTTTATCGCTGGGATCATCAAGTACGTCGAGCGGACACGAGCTTTATATCTTGCAAGCTTGGACCAATTTCGGGATTCCATGCTCAAAGACCCGGATCCTGGACCAAATTACGCCAAGCTTATGGAGGAATACGCTTCCAAGAAAGAGGCCAAACTTCCAACGAGAATAAATATGACACCAGAGCCTGATAAAGAAGCCAAGGCTTCTGATATTCCAACCAAGAAAGGTAAATTGAATCATGTTGAAGTGGTGCATTACGCTTATAACTACTTCAAAATATTCAAAGGACTGGTAGTCGATCTCATCTTCAGCTTCCGTGAGCGTGATGAAAGCCGTGACTTCTTCAATTGGAGGACGGCGGAAGACGCTCTGAGGGTACTTGAGGTCGAACTCAACTTTATGTATGGTACTCTCTATACCAAGGTGGAAGTTGTGCATTCTGTTGTAGGATATATTTTCCGATTCCTAGCTTTTGGGCTGGTTTTAGCAACTCTTGGAATCTTCTATTTCCAAGTAAAGAAAGATGACTTCCATGGAGTTGATAAGGGAATCACCTACACCTTGCTCCTTGGTGCCATTGCCTTGGATGTAATAGCCTTCTTCATGCTCATTTTCTCAGATCGGACAATTGCTTCTATCAGGGACCCTGAATTTCCACATTCTTGGTCTTGGCCTATATATTCTGTCTTCAGCTATTTCCTTGCTCTCAAGAAGCTCAGGTGGATCCATTGTAAATGTGAGATAGTCAAGCATAATGTCTTGGCTACTCCTTCTTCTTTTCGAAGGTGGTCTGGATCCGTCGCAGCACACAACTTAATAAGGTATTGCCTGAAAAGCAGTTCAACAAGAATCCATGAATTCCCCAGTTCGTGTGAAATCATGTTTTCTTTGTTTGGAATCTATGCAAAATATGTCAACATAAAAAAATATCTGTCTTTTAAGTGCGCATTGTTGGTTAAAATTGTCAACAAAACAACTAGCTTTTTAAGGTCTATTAAAGAAAATGTGAGCCAATTTTTCAGCCCTGCTTTCGGATTAATCACTAAGCCCATTGAGGAAACAGTGGATGAGATGATGTATGTGTCCCGTGAGCCCTTCACTATGGAGCTATGGGAATTTATCTTTCATGAGCTAAAAAATAAATCTGAGTTTGCAGATACTCCAGAAACTGCTAAGAGGATATCCTCGGCCAGAGGTGATTGGGTTTTGACAGACACTGATTCACAACATGATCGTAGCAAGTTACTGAAATATGTGAGTGATGTTCAATATGATGAGAGCCTTCTCTTGTGGCACATTGCGACTGATCTCTGCTACTACACTGAGAAGGATGCAGAAAAAGAGAAAGCGAACTATACACATCAACAATTCAGTAAGATTCTGTCGGATTACATGTTGTATCTTTTAGTTTTTCAGCCAACTATGATGTCTGCTGTGTCTGGTATTGGAAAAATAAGATTTCGAGACACTTGTGCTGAGGCTAAAAGATTCTTTAAGGAACGGAAATTAAGACCAAATCAAGACAAGCAGGCCTGTACACACATTCTGTCTGTGAATACGGATGCTGGACCTGTGAATGTGAAGGGAGACAGAAGCAAGTCTGTGTTTTTTGAAGCAAGTATGTTAGCCAAAGAGCTAAAGAGGATGGGAGAAGAGGGTGAGGACAAATGGAAGTTATTGAGCAGAGTGTGGGTGGAATTAGTCTCGTATGCAGCAAGTCATTGCAGAGCAAGTACGCATGCTCAACAGGTAAGTAAGGGTGGAGAGCTTATTTCCTTTGTTTGGTTGCTGATGGCTCACTTTGGTCTCGGGGAGCAGTTCCAGATCATCGAAGGACATGCAAGAGCCAAATTGATTGTGGAAAAGTGAACAAAACTGATTCAGCAAATCCCTTTTTAATTATGCTTCGTCTTACTTCTATCAACAATAATAAATATTTGTAATGTAGTAGTGCATGCTTTCCGATGCTGAAGTAGCTGAATTATTGTGTTTGTCTTCTGGCTTTCATTGTGTACTTCATCACACGTTATCTTAATTTGCAAGAAATAAAAGAGATTAGTATTATGGTTTTTAATATGAGTTATGTAGCGAATTTAAAATATTTTAATTTAATTTTAGGATTTATATTTGTCGGTATATAAATGTTTTATACACTGACATATCATAAAAATTAATTTTAAATATATAGTTTTAAAATAAAGTATATTTACTTTTTAAATTTATTTTTTATGAGATGTCATTAGTGTTTCACTAATAAAAATAGTATTTATATACTGATAATATATTATATATAAATTTTTAATTTGATTCATTGTGTTTGGTAATATGATAGTACATATTATCTCATAGTGTATCAAATATAACTCATATCAACATTACCTTTTTGCTGGCATTTCTCTCAAAAAAAAAAAAAAAAATAACAATTGTCATATAGCAGATGTGGACAAGAATGGTATGAAATTTCTACATGTAATTAATGAAGAATAAAAATACAGAATAAAATCTATAAATAAAAAATTGAAAATAAGGAGAGGTTTGGTTTTAAAACCCTGATTCCAACAAGAGATAAATTAAATATCTAACTTTCAAAAATTAAAAATTAATTTTTAAATAAAAATAAAAAATTTGAGTTGGAAATGCCGACTTTTTAATTTTAATTTTTTATAAAGACCAATTATTAGGATTAATAAAGTTGGAATGAACATATATATATATATATATATATTTGTATTGTGATTATTATTGTTGGCTTCAAAAAAATAATAATAATAATACACAAACACAAAGTTACCCATAATATTTTGTGAACAAAACCTCTTAACTTTAAAAATATATATAGTCAAAACTTTATTAAAATCTATAAAACATATTAAAGTTATCCCATGAAAAATTGAAGCTTCATTTTTAGCCAACTAAGTTGTGTCATAAATAATAATTTGATGAATGAATTTTAATTTTCATTTAAGAATTTGGGTTAATTGAGATATTTAGTCATAAATTTAGGATTGGTTTGAACTTTTCAACTAACTCTAAATGGGTTATTTAGTATGTGACTAATGTTTTTAGGATTAATTTAGAATATTAACTTATGTTTTGTGAGGTTAAGTTAGTAATCATTAAATTTGAGTTATTATATTATTTTTAATTGAGGTTTCAATTAAAAACTGAAACATGCTTTTAATCGAATTAGGGTTTTTTTGGAGTTAATTTTTTAAAGAAGTCACAAAATCAAACAAAAAATATCACAAAATTATTAAGAAATAAAAAATTACCATACACATAATCAAATATGCAAAAAATTATATACAAATATGCACTTAATCAATACAATAAATATCAATCAACTATTAATTTTATGAAAATAAAAAGTAAAAATATAATTATATTAATTATGTCTATCTACACAAATGATTAAAGTTATCTCCACATGCAAGATTTTTAAAATTTCAAAAACACTTAAGATGAAACATAAAAAATTGATTTGATGATTAATTAAGGCATAAAATAAATTGGTTGGGAATGATTTGCATAAAGAACTTTAAGGTATTTTTCTTTGTTTTGGACACGTGATAATCGATTTTTTTCTTTCTTTTTTTTGTATTTTTATTTTTATTTTCATTTTTTGTATTTTTTAATTTATTGATTTGCTTATTTAATTATTTTTTATTTACTTACATACTTAAACTTTTGTATTATGAACATATTTTAATCATTTGAGAACGTAAAACTAAAACTATGTGTTACACAAATAAATTTATAATTTTTATAATTATATTTATTTATTTATATCATGTAAATTTAAAAAATGAAAAATTTTCAATAATTAAATTAGAAAAAATTGCAAATAATGCTTGAAATTCCTAATTGATGAATTTTTTGAAAATCTTGTCAAAAGGTTTGGAAAGATTTTGAAAGTATTCTAATAAAAATATTTTATTTATTTTTAATAAAATATTTAGTTAAAAATTGGTAAAATAAAATATAAATGTAAATATAAATATAAATATATATTTTTCTATAAAATTTTAAATTAATATGACAATAAAACCTCTTTAAGAAAACAAATGAGATTTTTAAATACTTTTGAAATGAAAGAATTTTCTTGAAATTCTATCAAAATATCGAAGAAAACTTAAATTTTTTTTGAATATTTTAAATAATGAAATTTAATTTAAAATAAAAAACCATTTAGATAAGATTTTTTAGGATAATATAAGATTTATTGGTACTATCTTTGGATGGTTTTATGTTAGTGCTAATACCATTTTTAGATAGATACTATGAAAATATTAATACTGTCTTTAGATAAACGTTTTTAAACAGACATTATGAGAGTGCTATTACTTTCTTCACACCTAAATTAATAACAAAATATACAATAAGAGTGGAAACAACTCTCATTTGAAGGGCAATTCACAATTGAGCTAGTAAATTCTATTTGACAAATAGTTATTGGTTGATAAAAGAGTTTAATAAATTATTAGGTTTGGCATGTGTGTTTGGTTTTAATTGAATTGGGACATAGTGAGTTGGGTTTTAATAGGATTTGGAAAAAAGAATGCGGTATTTGTAATTGTGAATTTTTATAGGTTATGAGTTTTTACCATTTATTAGTTATAATCCAATAAAATAAAACAATAAAGATATAATAATGATAAATATAAATATAAAAAATTATAAAAATAAATATTAAATATTAAGTTACTTTTTTTCTTTCTCTTGTTTTAAATATTTTTATTAAAAAAGTTTATAATTTACTTAAAAATTAAAAATATTATAAATTTTGATGAAATAATTAATAAAAAATATAACACTCTTAACATAACATGAAAAATGTAATAATATATGAAATACTATATATATTTTTTAATTTTAATATTTTTATTATACTTTTATTTATTTTATTTAATTATTATTTTTATATTAAAATAATTAATCTACCCCCAACGTAGCAGGCACTAGTTCGAGTTTTGTATAATACTGTAAAACTTATAATTGATGTATCAATAATAACGTGACTTTCGAGGGAAGGAGTAAAGAGTATTATAAATTGACTAGGAAATAAGGAAGTTAGAATAAGAATAACTTCTAATTTTTGCACAATAATACCTTAACCCTTCTTTTCGATAAAAAGAATAAAATATTAGAATAACCCTTTTATTAGGCTATTCATTTAAGTTTGTAATATTCTTACTGTAACTCTAAGTATGTAATATATATATACATAGTAAATAATTTTTTTATTAAATAATATAAATTATTATTTTAGATTAATTAGAATTAATATATTTTTATTGAAAAATATATATTAATATATATTTATAAAAAATTACCTTATACAAGATAAAAGTAAAAAAAAAAAATAGTTTAAAAAAATTTTAACTTTTTTTTTTAAAAGCTAGGGGTATAGAGATTACTTATATCCATCAAATACTCACAGAGATGAGAATGTAGAGAAATTTAAAATATTCGTTAAATATAAATACGTGAATAAATATAATATAAAAATTTGAAAATAATAATGAATAATATTTTATTCTATCCATACTTTATCCATTGACATCTCTAAAAAAAAATCACTCTCAATCTCAAAAACTAACAAAAGGAATAATTAAAAAAAGAAAGTGTCTTTATTTATTTTCTAAATGATTTATTGTGCTTCTCTTTATAAACAAACGTGCATTAAATTTTTTACAATGTAATGTTTTTCAAATCAAATTATTCAATTTAATTTCAATTAAATCAATGTCAGCTTTAGTTCATATATAATTTTTTTAAAAAATTTCTTGATAATAATGTTAATTAATACGTACTCCATTTAGTTTTTTTTTTTGTGTAAAAAATTCTTAACATGAAAGACAAAAAAAATTAACTTTTATGTAAAGACCAATTACTAAGATTAACAAAGTCAAGACACATATAATATTATATATATATAAATATATATATATATATATATATTTATTGTGCGTGCTATTTAGACCCACAATCCATGTCAAGTAATAAAAGAAATGTTTTTCTTTTACGGGATGCCCATAGTTATTTTCTTTTAAAAAAAGCATAACTTTTACATATGTTATTAAAATTTTACAATTTATGTGACAATAATAAATTTTTGTGAGAACAAGATTTTATATTGTTTCTAATGTTTGTATAGGCTATATTCTTAGGAATATTTAATATCTCTTATAAGATTATCATGATAATTTAATTACATAAGTGATTTTATTATCAAAATAATTTTATTATTTTTAATTTGAAATCACTTTATTTGATTACAATCATTAATTTTTAAAAATAAAAAATTATCATGTTTGATATTACTAAAATTTAAATATTATTTTATTTAAAAGTACGAAAATAATCATAAATATTATAATAGTTATGCAAGTTAATAATTTATATGTTGTTTAAAAATAATAATTTATAAAATATTAATAATATTTTATTTAATTAATCAATATATTTATTGATGATTAAACTAATTTTTATAATATAAATTATGTAAAAAACATTTGAATTAAAAAATAAAACTAATCTATTACAATTATAGCAAAAGAAAAATAAAACACTTATATTATGTATAAAACATTAAAAAAAGTAAGAAAATCTTACAAATTATTTTTCAAAATTATAAGAATGAATATTAATTTGATAATATAAAAATTATAATATAAAATAATTATAATTTTAAGAGTAACCAAATTTTTAATTCAATATTAAATGAATAATATTGACTATTGCTAATTTTATATATTAACTTTACTTCATTTATAAAAGTTTTTCATCTTTTTTGGATAGAAATTAGATCACTCTTAAAAATAATGATTTGGTTACTCTTAATGTTCTCATATCCCCGTTATATAAGATTACTAAGTGATCATCTCATACCAAATACTATCTTAATATATTTTGAATTAAAGACTACGTACTAATATTTTTTTGGATTTAAATATAAATTCCAATTATCTACAAAAATCTTAAAGAAACATTTAATTATCCCATAATTGACTTGAAAGGTTGGAAGCTAGAACAAGAATAACAAAATTTGGGTGGAAGAATAAAAATGACTTACAACCTTAACCATTCTTTTCCTTTTTTTGATAATAAAAAAAAAGAATACTTTTTTTTTATTAGGCAACTCAATTAAGTTTGTAATATTCTTACTGTAACTAGGGGTGTAAATGATACATTAGTATTCGCAAGTTACTCGGGTTCGGTTCGAAAAAAATTCGAATTCGATTCGATTATTGTCGAGTCGAGCTCGAGTAGCTCGACTTATCGATCGAGCCGAATTCGAGTATTTTTATATCTGACTCGAGTAGCTCGCGAGCCTAATCGAGCTTTTATATTTAAATATATTTTTATTACTTTAATTAATAAAATATTTCGAGTCCGAGTTCGAGTTCGAATTCGAGCATAAATAATCGAACTTTTGTCGAATATACGAATCGAACTTATTTTTACATATTAATCGAGCTTCATCGAGCGAGCTCGAATAACTCGAATTCGATCACGAATCGAACTCGAGCTTGAAAAATAAAACTCGATCGAGCTCGAGCCGAGTATCGAGCTCTGAGTTGTGAGTCGAGTTCGAGCTCAAGCTTCTCACTATTCGGTTCGACTCGACTCGTTTACACCCCTAACTGTAACTCAAAGATTTTGCGAGTCACCTTAGAAGAATCACTCTCAATATAAAAAATCTAACAAAAAGGATTAAAAAACTGTGAAAATTATCTTTAAGCTATATTTTTCGTAATGATTTGTTGTGCTTCTTTTTAGAAACAATTATTATTATTATTAAAATTTTTACAAAGCAATGTTTCACTCAAAATATATATTAATTTTAATTGAATTAACATTTTTAAAATTCTTTTTATAATATTTGTAATATTTAATAGTTTAGTATCAAAATATGTATAACTACTATATATTATGAGAAAGTCCAAAATAATAAATATCACGGAAGGAATATATAAATTAATAAATACTTTTCTTAACGTGAAAGTTTGGTAACTCCAAATATTCTTATAAAAGAGATGAGCCAGATCGAGTTTCTATCTGAGAACCTTTCTTCCATATCTCACATTCTTTCATTGATTTGCTCACTTCTTCTCTTCAACCATGTCCTCATCTAATTCTAAAGATGGTTCAGTACCGTCGCAAAATGACCCTGCTCAACCCTTCACCATTCAGGAGATTATTCAAAGCTTATCCAAGCTGCTTAATCGTCTCTCCGAGGAAAGAGACAAGATTCTTAACGGCACTAAGGAGAAAGTAACCACGGATTCGCCTGATCAGGGGGATGGCAAGAAGGACAGAGATGATGAAAACAAAAAAGAGGGTGACCAAATGGATATGCATAATCAGCTTGATAAAGTATGCAAAGAACTCAAGTATGTGATTGGTGAATTTAATAAACTCAAAGATTTTAAAGATAATCTTTCCGGACTACTCAAAACCCTTAAAGACAATGTTGATGACATCCTAGCAGATCTATCTCACGCCTCAACTGAGTCGGTAAAGAAGCTGATTGAACGGAATCTTAGAGTGCTGAGAAGCAACATCACAAAAGTGAAAGTTCAGATCCCTTTACAGCGTCGCGTTTCTTCTGGTTCTGAGGCACGTGGGTATTTACAAACCAGGGCTGTTGGCAAAGAACTCGGTTCCCTGCCTAATCCATATGAAGCACATGGTAATGTTATGTATTATTCATTAATTATATAATCAGACGTAATTAACATTAAAGTTACGATATTATAATTAAAATAATATTTAAAATTACAATACGATCATGATATTATCTGAGATTCGTTTTTTAATTAGTGAGTCTTTTATATATAAATAGTATTTTATGTATTCTTTCTTATGAATTAAAATATTATAAGTTATTTTTCTATAAATATATGCTATCATGGTCGAATTAAGTATTTTTTGTGTTTTTTTTTTTTTTTTACCTTTTATCTTACTCATTTTTACTCACACAAAGGTTCTTATTTAAAACTTAACATAATATTAGAGACAAGTTGTTTCACGAGCCTCCTTGTTTAGTTTATGTCTAAAACCAGACTTTTTTTCTATGTTAGCTCCTGAACTTGTTATGTGCTCTGTCACGATATCTCTAAATCTACTGCTTATTACACCACATCGGTTCCTAAACATAGTATGTGTTTCATCACGACATCTACTAATCTGCTATTTGTTTTTGCTATACCAACTCTTAAACTCGTCATGTGTTCCGCCATACCATCTTTGAATCTTGCTACACGTTACACCATGTTAGTCCCTAACTTGCTAAGTGTTTTGTAACTTGAGCGATTTTGGCTTCCTGATTTCATTTTTTTATCTTTGTTTCTATTAGTTTTATTTCAAAAAAAAAAAGAATTTCTTAATTGTTTTCAAGATTTAATTAACAAATTCAAGTTAACATCTACAATATTACTTTGAATTTGAAGGATTGTTAAATGTAATATTTTATAATATTTAAAAATTATGCGATTAAAATTAATATTATAAGTTATAACATTATAATTAAAATAATATTTAAAATTACATTATCGTATAAAATTCTTTCTTTAATTAATTAATGAGAATCATCTATATATATAAATTAGGGGTTTTATATATTTTCATTTAAATTAGAATATTAATAATACACCTTGGAGTCATTCTATCAGGGTAAACCATCATGACCGAATTACTTATTTTTTGTTATTTATTTCACACCTTTTCTTTCTAAGTAAATATTCTTATTTAAAACTCAACAGAAATATTTGAGAGCGGGTCTTTTCTCAAAGAATTTCGAGACCATTATCGGGATCTTGCTAAAAGGGACAAGCTGTGTTTGTTGTGTTTCGCAATTTTCCCAGAGAACGCAGAGGTTAAGAAGAGGCTTCTACGATTTTGGTGGGATGGGGAAATGTTAACACCATCTCCAGTTTCAGGTACAGGGGAAAGGTCAACACCGTCTCCAAATTCAGATGCAGGGGAAAGCTCAACACCATCTCCAGATTCACATACAAAGTGTTTTGTAAATAAAACTCTTGACAAATTTGTAAAGATGGGATTCATTGAGCCTGTTACTAAGAGAAGCAGATCGCAGACTACCAGCTACAAGATGCATCCGATTATTCGTTCTTTCATCGTCAAGCGTGCTAAGGAGGCTAACTTCTTTGATTACGACCTCAAGGGAGAACCTACCATGGAAATTTCAGAAAGCAAAAAGTCATGTTTGGTAAAATCTGAAAATACTTCTTGGTTCTCAAAGAATCCACTTTCAAAGCCTGATCCAACGGGGGAGAAACTAAGACAGGAAAAAGAGAAAATAATGAAAAATTTGGAAGTGCTGCAAACGTTATTCAATGTCAGTAAGCAATTTCCTGATTTGCCGGAGGAGCTGTTTTCCAAGATGAGAAACATAGGCGTTCTTTATTTAGGAAGATGGGAGAGCACAGCTGAGCACCATATCGAAGTGGAAAACACGAATTTTTTAACAGGGTTGAAAAATTTGAAGAAGTTAAGGTTTTTTAGTCTTCAAGGAATCTCCGGAATCTCGAAGCTCGAAAATTTTCTTTGCCAGCTCAACAAATTGAGAATCTTAGATCTCAGAGCATGTCACAATCTGGAGGAACTACCAAAGGGGATTGGTTCACTCAAGAAGCTGATTTACTTGGATTTATCTGAGTGCTATTTGCTAGACAAAATTCCCAAACAACTATCTCAACTCTCACAACTCGAAGTCCTTAAGGGCTTCGTAATTAGCAAAAATAGCTCATGCACTCTTGGCAGCTTGACAGCATTACCAAATCTGAAGAAACTCAGCATCAACGTGAACGACAAGGATTTCTCAATAAAAAAAGAGGAGGCAAATTTCTTAAAGTTTGAGGCGCTTGAGAAATTGAAAATAGCATGGGGAGCGATGGAAAGGGGAGCAAAGCGGACAAGTGGAAACGAGGTGAATAATGAAACAAAAGCCACGCGAAGAGACAAAGGTGAAAAGAAAGGTAATGGAAATCCCAAGAGCAATGCAGACAAAAGTACAGACCGCAAAAAGCAAGAAAGTGAAGCATCAAAATCAAGGGCCGTAATGAAAGTTCAGAATCTAAAAATACAATGGGGAGCCTGCGGAAAAGGATCGCCAACAAAACCTGACAACAAAAAAGATGCAACAAGTCAGAAGCTAGTAAAACTGGACCTCGAATGTTTTCCAGAAAGAGAACTACCAACGTGGCTGGACCCGGAGAAGCTGACAAGCCTAAAGCGTCTCTACATTAGAGGAGGAGCACTCAGTAACCTGGGTGCTAACGAGAAAAAGTGGGAGGTGGAGAGTTTGCGTTTGAAGTACTTAACCAATATAAAGATCAACTGGAAAGAACTTCAAAAACAATTTCCAAAACTCAATCATTTGGAGAAAGTCCAATGCCCTCAAATCACCTTCTGCCCATGCGATGCAAGCGGAGTGTGGAAATTGAAGCAACCTTGAAAAAATTGCAGTTGAAAATTTCAAGAAGTTGCCAGACAGGGATGGCATCATGAATTCTTATTTATTATTGTTGTTTTATGAATTAATACTATCTCAATACTCAAAATTCATTAATTTTATTTTTATATTTGCTTTCTTTCTTTGGACATTTGATATATATGTAGTGTGGTGCGTGTACATATATATATATATACTCAAAATTCATTAATTTTATTTTTATATTTGCTTTCTTTCTTTGGACATTTGATATATATGTAGTGTGGTGCGTGTACATATATATATATATATATATATATATACACTTATATATTAAACTATCCTTTAAGAGATTAGTTGTTTGAAACCTGTTAATCTTATAGTCTGGTGATTAATGCTGGCAGATTGAATATTTAAAAAAAATTCCATAAAAAATAACTAAAAAATAAAAATCTCAATAACATCAATAAAAATATATACTTATCTATTAAAACTATCCCTAAAAGATTAGCTGCTTAACTTCTGTAAATATTATAAATATACTATTTTACCTATTAATTAGTATGGATATTACAATGAATTAATGAAGATTCTAGGATACAATTGACAATTAGGTGATTAATGTTGGCACATTGAATATTTAAAAAACAAACAAACAAGCAAATTTGTCTACCTAAATATTTTATAATTAAAATAAGATAAATTACTTAATACATTGATACTGAAGTTTTTTAACTCTACAAACGAGATTAAAATAATAACACATATCCCATTTATTTAAATATATAAGGATCATGTGTTATAATTTTAATTTCGTATACGGAGTTAAAAAATTTTACTATGATAATTTCTCTTAAAAAAATAAAAATTTTATATTAAATATTAACTATTAAATAATAAAATTGCATTCTCGGCTAAATTTAGGTTTTGACTTTTGACTCAAAAATTTAAGTCAACACCAAAAAAGAATTTGTCTTGGAATGTAAATAGAAAAACAAAAAGAGATAAGTTAATATCCAATTAAGATTTTTTTATTTTTTCCAATAGTGATCAAGTCCAATGGATAAATGCTCAATTTTTTTTTTAAAAGAGAGTTAGCTCATTTTAAAAGTATATTTTTTATTTTTAATTTTATTTGATTATTATTTATTATGTTTCATTGGATCTTATAATTTAAATTAATAATTTATTAAATTTACTAAACAAAAGTGGAAATTAACAAAAAAATAACCATAATAAAATTATTGTTGAAAATTCCTTAACAATAAAATTTTTTAAAAAAATTTGTAGGGACATTTTTCAAAAAGAAATTGAAATGAGGAATAATACAGTGGGGAAAGGCCTAAGAATTGTTCCTTAACACATTAGTCAATTTTAAAATATTAATAAAGAGAAATATAAAAAAAGTAAAAACGAAAAATATTAAATAAGATGAAATATACAAAAAAAAAAAAGACAATGATACAGATGACGTAATACAATTTAAAAAAAATGCAAATGACAACTTTTTTTAAATAAAAATTATTAAATTAAGAGATATTTAGAAAATTCCATCCATGTAACGAATTTAAAAATATTTTATTTTTATTAAATAAAATCGACAAATATCAACGTGGGAAATAAAAAGATAATAAAAAATACAATAAATACAAATTATAAAAATAATATATTTAAATTTCAAATGCTAATTATGATCATTATATTTTATTTAATATTATATTATTCTAATTAATTGTTGCTATATAAATATTGATCTCGTGCGAAACAGGGCTTTTACACTAGTGTAGAGAAATTAACATTATTGTCATGCCTCCAAGTATCAAATGAGTTCATTAAAGGGCTGTGAAAGAATTGCTGTAGAATGCCATACACAAACAATTAATAACGTGCGATGGGTTTGATTTTACAAATGCAATGAAGCCTTAGAAATAAAAGCTAACAAAGTGATTTTTTTTTTTGCTCAAATATAACAATCAAATTCGTGTAGAAATTAAAATAATTAAAATTATATGAAAACATATATATATATATATATATATATATAACTCAATGAAATAACAGTCTCTCCATGGGGTAAAGACTTTTTTGTTAAATATATTATTGACTTTTGTTTTTTGATTAATTAATTAGTAAAAGACTCTACTATTTGTATCAAATATATATATATATATATTTATTTATTTGGATGGATAATAGAGCAATTAACTAAGTAAATGGTCTCAGCATACTGTTTGCAGCTCAACATATAATTAATTTAAAGGAACAGAGGCAGATCCATGCCTAAATGCAAGGGCATTTATGAACAAATCAAAAATTTAAACACTTTTTTCTTGACAGAATTGGTCAATTTTGTTGAATAATTCTTTAATTACACATATTGATAATGATATATTTGATAATATTAGTAATTATGCAATTGTGTTTTTTTTTTTAAGATATGAGAATTCATCATAGATAATTGTAATAATATATTAGTATATTATTTCAAATTTTTAGTTATAATTTTAGTTAAAATAATAAAAAAATTGAATTTTATCAATTTATTTAGATAAATCATTAACTTGATTGCACTTAATTAAACCATTAATGTTTACTTTGGTCTAAATAAGTTCTCAAACTTTAATTTGTATTCAAATAAATCCTTAATCTTTAATTTATTCTTAAATAAGTCCTTAATATAAATTAATTTTTTGTTTGAAATAAAAATTTATTTGAATACAAATAAAAAAAAGACTTGTTTCAATATAATAAAAGTATATGTACATATTTAAATAAAATAAGAAAATTAAAAAAATTAATATTTTAATTATAATTTTTATGTATATTATAAATGAACATTTTCAAAAAAATATTGAATTCATCACTATAAATGAATAATAAAATAATTGAGTAAATCCGACAACCAAGTCAAATTTTCTTTTTAATTTATCTTTTCTCAATTTATCTTTTTGTTCTTTCTTATACATTCTTTATTTTCTTTTCTTTTATTTCTTCTTCACTTTTTTTTTTTCATTTTTAAACTTTCCTTTTTATTCTTTCACTTTTTTTTTCATTTGTTATGTTTCTTTATTCTTTTAACTTGTCTTCACTCTTTCTTTACTTTTTCTTAATTTATTCCTTCCTTCAAACTTGTGTTTAGTATATCTTTTTATCATGCTTATTTTTTTTACATTTGAAATATTATATTTTATAATTAATATCTTTTTATATTTTTCTTTTCTATACCTTCCAATTCTTCACTCTATTTTTAATTATTTACATTTTTTCCTTTTCTCTTACCTAATACCTTTTCTTCATGATCAATCATTCTTTTATTCCTTTAATTTTCTTCTTCCTACATATATTTTACTTCATGACTTTTTATTTTTCTTCCTTCATTCTTTTACTTATCAATATACAAAAAACTATCTACATCATAGTTTTTTTTACTATTTTTTTCAGTTGTCATTATCATATTGTTTTTCTTTGTCATTTACTCTCTTTCCTCTTTTCTTTATTCTTAATTTTCTTTAATTTCAATTTTTTCAATTTTCATTTCTTTTATTTTCATCCTATCACTCTTTATTGCCTTTTTTTTTCCTTTTTTTTTTTAAACTTTCTCTATTATTTCTAATTTCTTCACTTTTCTTTAAAATTTCATTTTTTATTTTCCTTTTTCTTTTTCTTCTACTCTATATCTTTCATTTTCCATTCCTTTGTTCTTCATTCTTAATTCTTTTCCTTTCCTTATTCTCTTTCTTTTTCATTATTAACCTTTCCTTTACTCTATTCCATTTTCTTTTTTACCCTTCCTCTTCACTTATCCTTTATCCTTTTTACACCTTTATTTCCCAATCTTTCTTTTCTTTTAGTGTTTTATTCTTGCCTTTTATTCTTTTGTTTTTTTTCTTATTTCTTGTATTCTCTATAGATGTGTTTGACATTCAAGTTTATGATATAATAATATAAGATGATATTATGAATATGATTAGATTAAATAATGTCATCATATTTTATATTTAATATGTGCAAAAATAGAGATAAAATAATTTATTAATTGATCAAAATTATCTTTCTTCAAAGTTTATATAATTTAAATTATTAATATAATTTTTAAGGGTATAATAAGATATATAAGTTCAATCTTATGAATTAAAAATAATCCTCTCTAGATTAAATCATCCTATACTAAGAGGATAATTAATCTTCCTTATAACCTTATCTTTTTTTTTAGATACAAGCTAGATATAATAGAAGATAATTATCATTCTATCATATCTATCATCTTATACACCAAACATGATCTATATATCTTACTTTTTGATTTGTTTCTTCTTTATCCATTATATTTATTTTTTTTCTCTCTTAATTCTTGCTTTAATTATTTATTTATTTTTGGTGTATTACTATGAGAAATTGAGAATAAATAACCTATATATATAATGTAGAAATGTAATCCTAGTGTGCAAAGTGATTATATCATGAGTCAATTTTTTTCTTTAATGTTTTGGAATGTACATAAGAAAACAAGATCTTAAAATGAAGAACATGCATAAAAGGATTAAAGGAACAAATTATTTATTTGAATTATAATAAAAATTTGTATTATTTGAAAACTTTAAACATTTTTGATAAATTCGACATATCATTCATGAATTTCGCTATAACTTTATATTGTAATAATTAATATACAATACTATAACATTTTATAAGTTACCATTTGTAATAGCCATATATAATCCTTTTTTTTTTCTCAAATTTCAATGTTATTTGAAATGGTACATTTCCCCATAAAATCAATTAAATAAATAATCCTAATTGAAGGCAAATGATCATGAAAATGAAGTAAAATGATGGAGGACATTAGCTCATTAATTTTTTCATTTTCTATATAAACTTAATATCCTTTTCATATGTACAACATTCCAAAAAAAAAAAAAAAGTATTTTAAGCTTTTAATTGCAAAATACAAATCATCTTCAGGCTGATTAAGTGATGCAATACTTCTTTTATTGTCAATAAGAAAATCCATTACAGCTAGAAATTAAGTTCTGAAAATATATATGGGATGAAACCCCCAAACTCCAATACATAAAGATAAAATCGTAAAAATAGAGCAACTCTTTGCGTAATAAAAAAGAGAAATTTCTTAGAAAAAATATAAAATATTGTTATGCATATGTAGTGATATTCAATTGGCTAACACCATTTAGCCTTCTTTTGAACTTGTAGATGCTTCAATCGAACTATATTTTTAAGTTGTAGTTGCTTCACCAGAACCGTCCTTTGGAGCTGCAGATGCTTGCTTTAAACCATCATTTTGTAACATTTGTTCCTCGTGAAGATGATTGATTTCTCTCATGATTCTCGCAGCCAGAGGAAAACCTCCACACTTCTTCTTCAGTTCCTCTTTTACTTCTTTCATAACTTCTAGTCGAGTCGAATCCTTTTCTCCTTTTGAATCATCTGGGTCCCGGTATATACCCCAGCAGCAATCTGGATCTGAAAGGGGCAGCAAACGATGCAAGTTTTGCTCCTCAACCATCTTCTTTATTGCCTCCTGATTCCTACTTGAGACAATGACCGCTCCTCCAGACCCTTTCGGGAATCCATGTCCATCTCTAAGACAAGATTCTAGTTTTTCATAGTACTCCTCCTTGTTTCGTACATCATCAAACACAATCAGAAACCTCTTCCCTTTCAGTTTCAGGTGAAGAGAGTAAAGCAACCCAGGAAGTTTATGATCATTAGAAATGGACTCGATGATTTCTTCTTCAACTCCAAGATGTTCCAGCATTCTTTTTACAACATCCTCCATTGATTTGAGCTCTTCGGACATGGATATCCAAATCCTTGGAACAAATCGTTGCTTCACTTCTTCTTCATTGAAAATTAAGCGACATAGTGTTGTTTTCCCAACACCAAGCACCCCGACAACGCCAATTAGCTTGATCGAATCTTGGCTTTTTTCATTGAGAAGCAACATTTTCAATGACTTCTCGTCATAATCGAAACCCTGAACCTCAGATTGTTCCACTGGCTCATAAATCTTCTCTAGAAATTGTTTCTTTTTTTCATCTGTAGTGAGTCCAAGACCTGGATCCGATTCTTCTTGGATCCCATCTCCCCCATAATTTTTAATAGAATGGTCCGCAGAACCTGAAGTAGTGATCTTAGGACACAAGGACTTAATCGTTTCCTGGATGTACGATGGGGATGATTCCTCATCATCTTTAGGCAAAGTCTTCAGAAACTCGTCATACAAAATCTCTTTTTTGCTACTCGAACTCATGATGATACTTTAGAAGCTCTAGGATATGTAACTTTTGTCGATTTTTGACCGTCGGAAGGATTGCTGCCCAAAAATCAGATTATTGTAAGAGAGGATAGTTAGATTAATATAAGCTAAAATTATGAACAAATCAATTATGTTTGCATATAAATGTTTACCTGTACAAAATTCAACAAATTTTCATTGGAAAGCAGAGATTGCAAGGAGCAGTCCCATCAACATATCTTATGCAAATACCAGTAACCCAAATTAAGGTGGAAAATGAGATTGCGATGAAGAGCAAAAGGGCCAAAGGAAAGAATAACAATAGAATGCGGGAAGAGAATAGGAATTCAATTTCTTTGGGTGGTTAGAAGCTTATGGGTTGATTGGATATATATACAAGAGAAAAGCGAATAAAGTGAATGCAAAACACAAAATAATTGCATAAAAAAAAATATAAAAATTAAAAATGGATTAAAGGAGAGGAAAAGTAACACGCTGTCTTGTTGAGTGAATTAAACACTTTAGACCCCTATAGTACAATTTTTTTAAGAGAGAGAAAAAAGATTAAAATTCGAACATTAATCTTAATATCTTTTTTAAATTTATTTTAATCACTGAATCAAGCAGCCGATAATTTTTATAGTACAATTACACCGTTTGGATTTGATTAATCAGAGTAATGAGTAATTGGATTGGACCATCGATCACCTAGTTAAACAACGGTAGGCCCAACTCCGAAATAAACACCAGATCACTAGTTAAATAGCTCAGTCAATACAGTCACCATGCACCCAAACACAGAGCAAGAAAAAAAAAAAAAAGGTATGAGCGAAGAAAATTTGGAAGAATGGGACGCGAGTTTCCTGGAGGAACTTATACAAGTTGAAGAACTCGCTCTTTCTTGTTCTTCTGTTAACCAAAACAACCCTCCTTCTTCCTCCTATTTACCGCCTTTGCTACCGCCACCACCACCACCACCACCACCATCGTCACATCATCAACACCTACATTTTGCGCCGCCATCTCGCACTGATTCCCTCAGTTACTCGCCTCCCAGAGAACTCTCCCAGAGAACCGCCGATTTCGGTGGCGCCTTGAATTCCAATGGCGTTTTTCCTAAATGCGCTACTCCTTCGACTCCTGTGCGGCTAGTTCGCGGTTCTGGTAACGCTAAGGATCTCGAGATTGAGCGCTTAAAGGTTAGGGTTTTACGCTCTCATACTCTGAGTTCTCGTTAAGTTATTTTCTTCAATTAAAAAAAAGAAAGAAGTCAGTTATTAAGGATTCTTGAAATAGTCGATAAATTGATGCTTTTACAGATTTTGACTTAGATATTTAAAACAAAAATAAAAAAGATTTTTAGAAATATTACCAATATAAGATAAAATTTGATTGAAATGTTGTGAATTATCATTGCAGAAGGAGCTGGGACGCGTTTCAAAGCAGCTAGCGGACCTCGTACGCGTATTTCATTGTTAATATTTTGAGTGAATATGATCCGAATTTGTGTGTGTGCCTAATATCATAAATCTGAAAGCAACTGTTACAAGACTGATGAAATAAAGTATTGGTGGAAATTGTTTTCTGCTAAAACCTAAATTGTTTGGGATTGGGCCTTAGGGAGACCATTTAGTTGAATAATTTTTGCATGATATAAGTGTTTCTTTTTTATCCATTTAGGAACAAGAGTGTTCACAGCTTAAGAAGGAAAGAAACAAGGAGGATCAGCTTGCATTTGTCGATTCAAAGAATGAGGTGAACGTTGCTAATTTTCATGGGTCGAGGATTGCAAACTTGTGAGTAGATCATTTTTGTCTCTCTTACTCTCCCTTTTTCACATGCACACATGGACCATGTGAGGAGCTAAATGTCGAAGTTAGAAGTTTAGAACATTGTTCTTCTCTTGATTCTCCTCTGCAGTTCATATGTAATAATTCTAAATGTAGAGACAACTAAAATGTTGGTTAAAATCCAGTTTTCTTAACTCTTGCTGTTGTCATTTGAGTATCATTCTGTGCAATTTAAGTTGAAATAAGGTGATCGACTATGTATTATTATCTTACGTTGTACATCCCATCATATTTGTTGGAGATTTTGAATGAAATTGGTCTCAATGACAGAGAACGTGGAATCCCCGTTGCAGCTTATCATGAGGTTATACAAGAATTTCCAAATGCAAAAGCTTTTGATGATCAGGTTGGCCTGAATACAGGTGAGAAGTGAATTGGACACTATGTTTGAAATTGTCTGATCTGCCTTACCAATTTAGTTCTTAACAGTTTTTGTGATGCCCCTTTTCCTTGTCTTTGGTAGCCAAGTCAAGCTGTAAGGAAATTGGAGTTCAGACAGATCTAAGTGCTTGTCTTGATCTTTCTAATAAGTTGCATGGCATTTGGGATTTGCCAAGTGACCAAAAGTTGGGAAGAAATCTGATAGCCAAGTTGTTTGCAGTTTGTTCCACAGATATTGATGTCCTGTTTGGGTTCATTAATATGAGCTCACCTTCCAAAACAATGGAACCACTGGTATTTAAGAGCTCTTTCGATAAGGCTTTGCAGAGCTCTGTGCATCCTGTTCTTAGTTCTGAAGCTGCAAAAGTATCTTGTTTCTACTCTTCTCTGACTAAGGTGCTGCCTAATCTTATTGTTTCAATACCTGCTGAAACATGATATGGCTTAGTGCTGTGTTCTATCATCTTGTTCACAAAAGTATGAGACATCAGCCATTGAAAACTGGCTCTCTTATGAGAGATTTATCATGATATGTGAACTCCAAACTATCTGTGCCTTCACCCTACTAAACCCCCTCTCCTGTCCCCATAGACAAAAAGAAAGTTACACCACGAAAAAGGCGCAGCCTAGCACATGAGGCTTTTAAATTGCCAGGTCTGGGGAGTAGGGAGGGTCAAATATAAGCTGCCTTACTCTTGATTTGAAAGTGGACTGTTTTTGCAACTTGAAACCATGTGGCCTCCAGTTCTAGGTCACGACAACCTGACTTTTGTGTCAAGGCTCATACTCAAATTCCAATCTTAAAAAATGACTCATTTAACTTCTGAAAGATAACTTACGACTGTACTTGGATAGTTTTCTTCATTAAAGTCCGCAGCTCCTTGCTTCATATTGTAGACGTATGTCTTGACTATATTTGATTTATGACCTATATTTAGAGCTAATTGGTATGCAGTTAATAGTTTCTTTACTGTTTGATTTAATTCTGTATTGCAGATCAGTAGTGGAATGTTGCAATTGGAGGCTCTATTTGAGTCGTTGATTGATCTCTGTAGTGTTGAAAATGTGAGTTGCAAATTTCTTATTTGAACTTTGATGTGAGCATATATGGCTTCATAAATCTTTAATTTCAATTGTTGAAGCAATGGGCTGTTAACTTTTTTTACTTTTAACTTTTTTCACCTAAGAAGGTAGGATTAGTTAGATGGCAATGTATCACAATATTCACCTTTTGGAAATTGCTGCAAGAAATTCTCTAGTGTCAATGACATTATATAGCAATAGGTAGCTACTTAAAGGGCACTATGCTCTCCCTCAACACCTCCTCTCTCCAAACTCAGAAAGGATGAAGAAAAACTACTTGATTGTGCCCTGTAAAAGGATCTCACTATCTCAGATGTTTGTTACCTTTCATTTTGTGTGTGTGTGTGTGTTATCATTTTATTTCAAATTATGAAGTATTACTCTTTTATAGCAATTCCTGAGGATCATCCTTTTTGATACAGGCGGTTATTGCTTATAGATCTCTCCATATACTACATGTCTTGTTGAAGCATCTTTTGACTTTTGAAAGGAATTCCGAAGCAAGGTATAGCTAGTATTCGTGTGTTGTTTCCTTTTTTACTTTTTAACTTGAAGGTTGGTTATGTGTTCTTGTTAAACCTCGATATTGGATGTGCTGTAGTTCATCTATTTTCCTTTTTTTTGGCCTCTAGAGATCATCTTTTTTAATATGTTTTGTTCTGAAATTAAATAGGAGTTCCTGTTTCATCTTATTTGCTTTTCTGTATTAATGGTGCTCAGAATTGTTTCCCTTTGCCCTCCCTCTAATGTCTTCTGTCAGTATGCTTTATTAGGCTTTGCCTTATACTTTTCATTTCTATTATCTGTCGTATGGTTTTCATTATGCTGGAGATGCATTATGCTTTACTAAAGGTAGACCAACTGTTGACCTATATTGTGTGCTTATGAACTTTGATTTGATCTTTCCAGTGCACTCTACTCAGGGAAAATTTCTTGGTTGAGCGTCATCACTCTGGGAGCGGCATTGATGATATATCTGGATATGAAATCCGAGGACAGGTTTGCGTTAGCATGGATGGTAATCATGCAAGTTGCATTCAAATTGGAGTAAAACCTTCTGAAGCAGAAACTCTGTGCAAGAAAGGACATTGCGGTACAGGCTCTACATTGCTGTTTTCCTGTATAAACTGGATTCATCTCTTTGAATTGATGCATCTAATTGCGGTGAAGAGTAGTGAAGAATGTGTAAGATTGGAAGCAGTCTCAATTATGAATGTGATTCTGATGAGAAGTGATGCTTACACAGAGAGAGAAAAGTAAGCACATATGATCTCCTTTTTTGCAAATATCTATCTTGAGACGCTACTTTTATTTTCTAAATGCTATTTTACATGAGCTAGGTTTGGCCTCATTCAAGTGTTTGTAAGCATTTCACAACTGCTGAAAAAGGAAGCTGGATTGCTTGTTCGAAAGGGGGCTGTGCACACTCTCTACCTGCTTTTAAATTGTAAGTGAATGCTTGTTCCTTCTGCCTCTTATTTCCTCTTTCTTTCATTGCACAGGAAAATGTAACATATTCTTGTACTCAATACTTACAAGATTGATCACACATACTTGTTTTCTACTTTACAATCACATGTTGCTTTAGGGATGGCAATATCTTAAATGTTGAAGTCAGCATATTGTTGCTGATATCCAGATGGCTATCAGGCCTTTCCAATAAAACATTCTATCAACACTTTTTGGTACAACAGGAAAGCAATACAGCTTGAACCAAAGATCCCCATCTGAATCTCCTTTCCCCAACTGCCTGAACTAAGCTCTCTTTCCCTGTACTTAATGTATTCTTTGCTGGCCTTCTGTCAGGGCTGGTCTTCTGGTTTTTAATGCCAGTGATACAAATGTCTTTTCTGAATATAGTATTATGTTAGTAAAATCTGAAGCAAACTACATTTCATCACTGTGTCTGTTCCCTATGGCTTATGGTTCTTTGTTGGATGAAGGTCCTAAATTGGTGGTCACATTCTGCTCTGGTTGTACAATGGCAGAAAGTGCTGATGCTGCTAATGATGAGGAAAACACTGCTGCTTTCCAAGGATTCACTATGATTCTTGAGGGGTTGGCTGGCTGTATAGCTTGCTGTGGAACTAGTTTACAAGTAGGTTGCAACTAAAGAAACTTCATTCTTGATTTATTCGATTATTTAATGCATTATTGGTATTGCAAAAAGTTGTAATGTTAAGATTATCCAAGGTTTTCGAAGAGACTATTGACTCATTTTCTTAGCTGATGCTTGTTATGGAATTCTGTCTTTCTGTCTTTATATAATGCAACTAACTTTCCAGGCCTTGGAACTTCGCAAAAATGCTATCACCTTACTGGCTTTTGTGGCCTCATCTGGAAAATCCGGCTTTGAAATACTAGTGAATCACAAGCTAGCTAGAGAAGCAAATTTTCTTACACTGATTTTGCAGCTATTGGTGTCTGAAATAGACTTAGAATCAGCCGTCTGTACTGAGTCTGATGAAACCTTTAGAGCAAGGTAAGTGATGGCTCTGGATGTGTGTGCGCCTGATGGCTGATGTTATTTTCATTGTTTTATGATGCTTGGCTTAGCATGCCGCATTCAATGCGTGTTTACATTTTCCCAAACTCTAATGACGCTTCTGTTGCGTTGACTCTTATAGGGAAGCAATGGCTTGGTCAGTTACAAGTTAAGCCCTTTGTTTTTCATTAAAAATATGAAAAATTTTCCCCAATTTTGAGCCGCTCTTATTAACTCTGTGTCATCAATTCTGTCAATGTTTGATGTTCTACTTTTAAACCATGTCTGCTCATCTTATAGGTGCTTTCTGTTTGCAGGACGTTATTGATACGGGAGGTGCTGATATTACTCAATAGAGTTGTTTCCAACCCAGCACACTCTGCCACTGTCTTGAGATTGTTAACCAACAGCAGGGATATGGTCAGTTTAACCCTTGATGTTGCAAACAGGTTGTCCAGAAAAGAACAGAAACTAAGGCAGTCTGACAGCATAACTAAGCAGATAAGAGAATCTGAAATTGTTGAATTGGGTCGAATATTCAAGAGAAGGGTTTCTACTTTTCTAGGAGAGTAACTGGCTGGTGCAATGAAAAATATAATCTATAAATTGTCTAATATATAACTGCTTTCCAATTATGGCCTTTTCTCAGAGAGAGAGAAACGGTTTTGGCGGTGGATGGAAACTGAAACGTGAGGTCTCTAGATTGGGCGTCATCCAGAAAATTTTGGCAATATTTTTTATGTAATTAACGCTGGAACAATTTTTAAGCACAATTAGCTGACTCTTTGCTTCACACAAGTTGCATAAACCAGCCCCATTATTGTCATCAATTTTCCATCTTGGGACTGGTTTCAGACTTTCAGTGCATCATACCGTGCAAGAGCAATAAATATAATTTTACTGATACAATTGGCAAAGTCAAAGCGGTAAAAACAATTTATGCCCAACAAATTTAGATAAAAAAAAAAAGAAAGAAAGAAATAGTAAGTATTACAAATAGGCTTAAAACGTAGACAATTTATACAATTGGTAAAGCTAAAGTGTTAAAAATCATTTAAAACGAGTTTGAAGGATTTGGCTACTAATGACTGTGTTATGCTCTCTTTCATCTATGGAATAGACCTCCCATTCTCCGTTTCTCCAGTAGGTATAATAAACTTCTGGAATGTTTGCAACTTTTGAATAATCTCCACCTTGTGCATCAGGACGAAGGGTCATAATCAATTCCTCAGGCATATCGAAAAATTCAAGCACTTTTAACTTGTCCAGATATTCAATCCCTAATGGCACCCTTTCCAGCAATTTACAACGTTGGATACTAAGCTTTTCAAGAGAAGGCATTGCACCTTTTTCCACTTCTATGCATTTGAGTCCTTCAAATTTATCTATACCTAAATGTTTAAGCTTCTCAAAACCGCCAGCCTTAAACCGTAAAGTGTTTCCTTCAGTAGCTTGCAGCAGTTCAAGATGTATAAGATTGGGCAAGTTTTGAAGAGATTCAAGTGCATCATCTGGCAGTCTACTCCATTTTAGATATACAACCGCCAGGCTTTCAAGAGATGGTATCCAGTCTGGCAACTTTTCTAATCGCCCATACAAGTATAGCCTTTGAAGCACTTGAGGAGGAGAAGAAACATATTGCAGATCAATGAACTCTTCCTTCACTGATGAAACGATAGACAATGCATGAAGGTTGATCAGCTTCTCAATGGATGAGCACAAAAGCTTTCCATCTTCTTTTCTCAAGTTTGTAATGCCTAGTCTGCGAAGTTGCGTCAATTTTCCTAGCTCTATAATGAGAGCATTATCATGGTTTACCTCCATAAAACAGAGTTTTTGAAGGGATTGTAGAGCTCCTATACCTGGCAAAGCCTGAAAACCGTATTTGGAGTGAAAACGTGAATATGAGATAAACTCGTAACGGTATACCAGAAGATGACGAAGTCTTCGGAGCTTTAGGATCTCAACAGGCAATTCAGTAACTTGGGAATGTTTTAGGTCCAATGTCTCCAAGTCCTGAAGCTTCCTTATCGAGCTTGGAATTGTCCTGATGTTGGTATCTCTCAAGCTAAGATACCTTAAAAGTCTCAAGTTAATAACTTCCTCCGGGAATGTCTGTATAGGTGCAGCTCGCAAATCTAACACTTTTAGCAGCCTACAACCATTAGGAAACAATGTATCTTTTGGTGGACAGAAAAGTGGTTCGCCCATCCCAAAAATAAGCAAGGAGCGTAGATGAGAAACATTCTTATTTTGCTGTGCATTTGGGAATGTGTTGTGTATTGCCAGGCGTCGAACCATGTCAGACCATGTTGCATTTTGCTCTTTAGCTACTGCAACAAAGTTCTGATCCCTAGCATTTGAAATGATGATTTCTCGCAGAAGGTCGTGAATGCGACATGTTTTGACCCTACCATCATTCGCTGTTCCGGCTATTTGTACCATGCTTCTATTCAGGAGCTCATTAAGATAGTCGTCTGCAACTTCTTCTTGTGTCTTTCCTTCTTTGGCTTCAACAAACCCTTCTGCAATCCACAATCTAATCAGTCTCATACTCTCAATGGGATGGTACTCGGGGAAGAGGCTTAAATACAAGAAACAAGATTTCAAGTGGTATGGCAAATCATTAAAACTCAGCAAAAGCACTTCTTTGAAATTGATGAGTTTGCTATTATCGTCAATTTCAGCACCAAGGCTGCGGTAAACAGTCTCCCATTCAGCAACTATACGTCTTTTTGTAGCCAAAACACCACTGATAGCTACAATTGCAAGTGGCAGCCCCTCACACTTCTCCAAAATACGTCTAGAATGTTTCTCCAATTCAGGAGGACATGAGTTCTGCCGAAAACATTTCTTACAGAAAAGAATCCAGGACTCATCCGGAGATAAGGGCTCTACGTTGAAGACCTTATCTCCAGATTCTATGCAAGACGTAGATGCTACTTCAGAATTACGCGTTGTGAGCAACACACGACTGCCACGACCATTGTTAGCTAATGCGTGACTGACCACTTCCCATTCATTCATGTGCCACACATCATCTAAAACAACCAAATACCTCCTTTGCTGCAGGAAGTCCTTGAGTACCATTTTCAGAAAAACCGCATCCATGTCATCCACACCTTGAGGAACTGGCTTCCTGATTGCATCAAAGAGTTGCCGTACCATCTTTCTTAGGAGCTTCTCTATCTTGAAAGGATGAGAAATAGTAATCCAAACATGTACTGCAAAATGTTTCTTCACATTTGCATTGTCATAGACTTGCTTCACCAAGGTAGTTTTTCCAGACCCTCCCATGCCAACCACTGAAATAACCTTGCGCCCGGGGTTTCCCTCAACCAACCATTTGATCAGTTGATCTTTGGGCTCGTCAATGCCTACCAAGTCAACTCTGTCTAGAAGGAGGGCATCCCCTCTTCTGTCCAGCCATGGATTAACTGTACCAGTGGAGCTTGGGCCTTGCTCATTTGCACCATTGTTGTCAAAGTGTGGACGCCTGGCAGATATGTTGCTCATTCTGGATTTGATGCCTTGTATTTTAGAAGCAATCCGGTGCTGAGCTTTCAAATTTTTTGTAAAGCAGCAAACATTATGTAGAAAAGCATCAATCCCATGCCTATGATCATTGACAAGGTCAAGCTTGTATTCATCCAGGATATCTTCAGTGTCGTAAGCGACCTCCCTTACTTGCTGAACCCATACCTTGAGTTCTTGGTTACTCTCACCCACAGAGTCTGCAACTCTCAGGACTGCCTTCAGGCTCTGCAACTCATTCTTGATGTACTCTAAATCCTCTGGAATCCCTTGCAAAAGCTCCACCTCTGTCTGCAGAAAAGATGAGAGTTTTTCAAGAAGAAAGGATACCGCAATTTCGGCCATCGTCTATTTCTATCGATTAGTTTTTGCAGCTTCGAAAAATAAAAATAAGGTATCAGTGTATCGTTAACCGGTGGTTTTTGAGTTCAAAGCCCCGTCATATTTATAGGAGTAGTTTGGCATCTAGCTTTTTCACGTCTGTACGCGTTTTGCACTGAAATCATCATTTGGTGGCGACTTTTCCACCAAAGGAAAAATTTTTTATACTTATTCAAACATATTGGCATTCTTGGAACTTTAGTTTTAATGTACCGATTCCAGACGCTACTGCCAATTTCATGGCAGATACTGAGAAATAGTTACGCAGTAACGCTATAGCCATTTGCTTGTGTTGTAAAATTCAACATAGATAGGCGGGCTAGGAAATAAACAAAAATCTTCAGCAACCAGCCAAACCAGTTAACCACGCGCTTATGATAGACCAATATCTTCTTCACTCATTGGTTAATGGGTCTCCAATTTCTCTATTTTGTCTAATTTTGTTAAATTTTTCACGAAATATTTCCTTTATTTCATTCGAGTCCCATCCAACTTGGTTGTCCAAATCCTCTCTTTCAGTTAGAGTTTGCTTAATTCTATATGTCATGGTTTCTATTATACGTTAATGGCAGGCCAATTGCTAGGCACATTGACCCTAGGAAAATGTCAGTCTTGACTCTTTATATCAACAAAGCGCGTAGTTTTGCCATGCCAAGTCCAAAACCAATTAAAAATGCAAGATTTCTTCGCTGCCGTGCTTGACTTGCCCAAAAAGAATGATTACTACACAATTTTAAATACAAGGAAGTAAGGCTGCCTCTGTCAAAGTCTTACAAAAGTGTGATCACCAACGATTTTTCACAAAACTTGACTGTGTGTCTCATTGTCTCTTATGCAGGTTTGATATTAAAAATAATAAGCCATCGTCATTCCAAGGTTGGCCTTATGTCACGGGCTCTAACCTTACATTTAGAATTCGTGCGGGCCTTAGGCTTAGAATCATTTTCTTTTACCTTAAGTCAACTTAAAATACAAGCATGCGGACATTAGAGCAATGAAAAAGACAAAATGCATAAGTTTAAGAAACTAGAGAACAAGAGAAAATAGCTGGAATATGCTTTTATATTTTATGAAACAAAGTATGAGATGCTGTACAAAGGAGGGTGGGGCGACCCTCTATTTATAGTCGAAGCCTCAGCTATATTTATGGCTAAATTCTTAAAATCAAGGAATTACAATCACACAAGGATTACATCGGTTACATTAATACAAGATTCTGTTTCTTGATTTTTAAGGTCAACCAAATCCTGCTGAAAGCTCTTGCTGATCCTGTGCGCTTCTAGAAGATCTAGTTGCGCATCCGTTCCCTTAGGCTTTCCCTAATGTGGTAGGGGCATCTTGCGGGCCTAACCTTGTCCGTGCTGGCTGGCTTGCATGCTGTGTGGGCGGTTTGGCCTCCTCTCCAAGGCTTGATGTGCAAAGCCCTGCCAGTGCTCCTGGTGCGTGAGCTTCTGCCTCTGCTGCTTGAGGCTGTGCACCTTGTGCGCCCTCACAGGGCGTGACATTTTCCCTCACCTGATTGCGCAATGCCCTCATTGCGTCCTCTGTATGGTACTGCTCAATCTGGTCCCTAAACTACCATAAGTCTTCTGCTAGCTCCTAACTCACCTCACTGTTTGGAAGTCCCTTCCAGCGCACCAAGTACTCTTGTCTTGGTTAGTAATTCTTCTGCTTCAGCTCCCGATCAGCTATGATGCTATGGACCTCTTTCTCATATGAGGCTCTTGCTCCCAATGGTGCACGCTTTGACTCTACCCGTTCTGGATCTCCCTCATCTTTATGGAATAGCTTGAGCATGCTAACATGGAACATCGGGTGTACCCTCGACTTAGGTGGCATATCCAGCTTGTAGGTAACTTTGCCCACTCTCTTGACTACTAGAAAATGTCTCTTATACCTTCGAACTAGGCTTTTGTGCAACCTCCTATGGAGCACAATAGGATGCAGCTTCATCAACACCAAGTCTTCCACTTGGAACTGCATATCTCGCCTATTCTGGTTTGCCCATTCTTTTACCTCTTTACCACATTGTGGAGACAGACTCTGGCCAAGTTAACTTGCTCCTGCCAAGCCTTAGCAAAATTGTATGTTGCTGGATTTGGCCTTGTATAACCTGCAGCAATCGAACTTGGTGTTAAAGGTTGCTAACCTGTCATTATCTCAAACGAACTCTAGTTCATTACCTCGTTCCTTTGCAAGTTGTAAGAAAACTGGGTGACATCTAACAGCTTAGGCCAGTCCCTTTGCATGGCAATCACATAATGCCTGAGGTAGACCTCCAATAGTCCATTCACTCACTTAGTCTATCCGTCGGTCTGCGAGTGCATGCTGGTGAAAAAGTTCAAGTCTGACCCCAACAACTTGAACAACTCAATCCAGAACCTGTCCGTGAAATGTCCATCTCAATCACTAATATTGGTCTTTGGCACTCTTCAATACTTCATCACATTCTTCAAGAACAACTGGGCTGTTTTCTCGACTGAGCACTCTTCGATTACTGGAATGAAAATCTCATACTTGGAAAACCTGTCCACCACTACCATGATGCTTTTGAACCCTTCTGTCTTGGGTAGACTAACTATAAAGTCCAGAGTGATACTCTCTCATGGTCACTTTGGCACTGGCAATGGCTTTAAGAGATCGTTTGGTTTCTTGAGCTCTACTTTGTCCTGTTGGCACACAAAATAAGTCTTCACATAGGCCTTCACATTTTCCTCATGTGCAACCAATAGTACTAGTCCTTTAGCAAAGCTAAGGTACGATTCACCCTTGAGTGTCCAGCCCACATCGAATTATGACACTCATGCATGACTTTCCTACAGAGCTTCTTATGTTGCGGCACAAATAACCTATTATCCTTGGTGTATAGCAAACCATCCTGCAACCAAAATCGCCTAGTCTTACCTTACTGGGCGTACTCCATGAAAGCCTTGGCTGTAGGATCGTGCGTAAACCCTTCCTTGATGCGTAGCACTAAAGACCCATTTGGTTGGTTAATGGTAGCAAGGTTTGCTTTTCTGCTCAGGGAGTCAGCCATCATATTCGCCCGCCCTAGCTTATACTCCATCTAAAAATCAAATTTTGTAAGAAAATCCTACCACCTCGCCTGTTTGGGGGATAGTTTTTTTTGCATCTGAAAGTAGGTCGATACATTGTCCGTCCTAACCACAAATTTCGACCCCAATAAGTAATGGCACCAAGTGCATAAACAGTGCACCACTACAGTCATTTTTTTCTCTTGGATCATGTACTTGTGTTCAATCTCGTTGAACTTTTTGCTCTTAAACGTCAATGGATGTCCCTCCTGTATCAACATTTCCCCTATTGCATAGTCTGATATGCCATATGCATCTCATAAAACTTGGCATGATCTGGTAAGGCCAAGACTGGTTCCTTGGTCATAGCCTACTTTAATCGATCAAAGGCTTTCTGGCACCCCACGTTCCACTCTTATGCTCTTCCCTTCTTGAGCAAGTCAGTCAATGACGTGACTATGGCTTAGTGGCCTTTAATGAAGCATCTATAGTAGTTAACCATCATAATGAATGACCTCAACTCTATGACCTTAGCTGGTAGTTTCCATTCTAAGATGATATGTACCTTACTTTTATCCATACGTATCTTGTCACCTCTCATTATGTGGCCTAGAAATGGGATCTTTTACTGGGCAAATGAGCACTTTTCCATCTTGACATATAGCTTGTGCTCCCATAACACCCCGAACACCTGTCTCAAGTGATCTACATGCTCTCTCAATGATTGGTTGTAGATCACAATGTCATCAAGATAAATCACAACAAACTTATTAAGAAACGATTGAAGTACCTTGTTTATGAGTGTACAAAATATTACTGAGGCATTCGTGAGTCCGAATGGCATGATCAAGAACTCATACAAACTATATTAAGTGACACATGTCATCTTGGGCTTATCTCTCTCTATGATCCTGACCTGGTAATAGCTCGATCTCAAATCCAGCTTGGTAAATCACCTTGCACTCCAAAGTTAATGAGTGAGATAGGATACTTATTCTTAATGATCAGTTTGTTCAAAGCCCGATAGTCTATACACAACTACAATGACACATTATGTTTACGTTGGAATAGAATCGGGGCACCATATGGCACCTTGGATAGCCTGATGAAGCCATCATCAACTAACTCTTTGAGTTACTTTTTTAATTCCTCCAACTTTGATAGAGACATTTAATAAGGGGTTTTAGCTGGTGGCTTGGCTTCGAGCACCCATTCGATCTTATGGTCCACCTCTCTCTTAGGTGGTAGCTTGCTAGACAGCTTTGGGGGTATCATATCGCTAAAAGACTCCAGCACCTTTAGCACCTCCAATGGGGTATTGGTCTTTTTTTTCCTTGGCTTCTCATACTTTAGGGCTATCAAGAAGGTGTCTTTATCTCTACTCACCGCATTGGCAAATTAGATGGCTGACACTACTCTGACCCAATCTCGGATCCACATTTCAATGGTACAAAGCATTGACACCGTGCATCTAGAATGCAAATACAATTGGCAAAAGGCACAAGAAGGGTTTTAATCTGAACAAGGAAATTCAACCAATCAGAAACTCATAATCATCCAAAGGTATTATTTTCATGGTTTTCTTGCTCTTCCAGTCTCCAAGTTCTAACTTCACTCCTCGTTCTACTCCAATGGCTGGCACTTCTTTGGAGTTCACCGTCTTAATGGTACCAATCCCCTTTTACACTTCGAGTCTAAGCTTTTGGGCTCCATCACCTGAAATAAACAAATGTGAGGCACTTGTATCCACTAGTATGTTCACCTTCTAGCTCGTAACCATCAGATCTGTAAACATCAAGCCCTTTAACTTACGGTTCCCTTTACTTTTGATAGCATTAAGCACCAACGACCTAAGCTTTGCTGCCCATGCCTCTGGCTCCTCGTCAGACTCCTTATCTATAGCAGCCAGTTTGCCTTTCTATGGGCAATTACGTGCTATGTGGCATCCTCCACATAGGTAGCATACGAGCGGCTCTCGACCCCTCTTTGCATTCCACTCGCCTGCTAATGGCTTCCTCTCGCCATCTTTGTTCGAACAGTCTCGATCTCCATCCTTAGACTATCGGTCATGGTCCCTTTCCTTGGACTGTTTCTCTCGATCCTTATTATCTTTACCCTTTCCCTTGGGCTTGAAAGACTCAAACTTGTTTAGTGATTTGAACTCCACCAAGGACTCAGTAATAGTCATGGCTTTAGCCAAGTCATGAACACCCCGTCTTTGTAGCTCATGCTTCACCCATGGCTTCAGCTCATCCATGAAGGTAAATAGATCCTCTGTCTCACTCAAATTTAAGATCTGAAGCATTAGTTCAGAGAACTTCTAGACATAGTCCCTTATTTCTCCTTATTGTGTAAGCTTACACAGCTTCGCTCGTGCCTCATCATTGGCATACTTCGAGTAGAATTGCTCTCTGAACTCTTTTTAGAACTCTACCCAAGTTTCAATCATGGTGCCTCCGTACTTCACATCATCACACCTGCACCTCTACCACAACAAAGTAACATCAGTAAGATACATTAATGCGGTGCTTACCTTGGTAGCCTTGTCTTGAATGCTCGTGGCCCGAAAGTACTGCTCTATGCCCCAAAAGTAGTTATCTACTTCTTTGGCTGCCCTAATCCCTTTGAACTCTTTGAGCTTGAGGATCTCCACACGGGTCTTAGACGCTTCAGTGAACATGCCATTTCTAATGGCAATCTTACACGCAGAGCTCGCTTTTAAGCTCTTTTATCTCCTTGCACATGGCCTCCATGCCATTGCGCATGGTCTCCACTTGGGCCTCCGAGGTTTCGTTCCTTTGGGTGATCACATCCAGGCCTTGATTGAGGGCAGCTTGTAACTCACCTTTGAGCTCTTTCTCCATAGAGTATAGTGTTTTAACATGAGTCTCCATATCATCAAGCTTTTCTTTCATGTCATCCATGGTCACTTCTACCTTGGACAGCTTCCTATCTATGGTAGATCAGATGTCTCTCAAACTGGCCTTCTTGCCCCTTCAGTGGCCTTGCTCTTGGGCCTCAGGTTGTTAGCTTGCAACATCGCTCTAGGATGCCATTTCCTCGACTGTTATCTAACCTGCACACAGACAAACAAGCAAAACTAAAACTGCTCTGATATCAATTGTCACGGGCTTCAATCTTAGACTTAGAATTCGTGCGGTCTTAGGCTTGGAATCACCTCCTTCTAGCTTAAGTCAGCCTAAAACACAAGCATGCGAGCACTAAAATAATAGGAATGACAAAATGCGCAAGTTTGAAAAACTAGAAAACAAGAGAAAATAGCTAGAATATGCTTCTATATTTTACTGAAATAAAGTGTGAGATGCTATACAAAGGAGGATGGGACAACCCTCTATTTATAATTGAAGCCCCCAACTACACTTATGGCTAAATCTCTAGAATCAAATAATTACAATCACACAAGGATTACACCAATTATATTAATACAGGATTCTACTTTTTGATTTTTAGGTTCAACCAATTTTACTGAAAGCTTTTGTTGATCCTGTACACTTTTAGAAGATCTAGTTGCGCATTTGTTCTCTTAGAACTTTCCTGATGTGGTGCGGGCGTCTTGCAAGTCTGACCTTGTCTGTGCGGGTTGGCTTGCATGCTGTGCGGGCGGTTTGACCTCTTCTCCAAGGCCTGATGAGCAAACCCCCGCCAATGCTTTTGGTGTGTGAGCCTCTGCCTCTGCTGCTCAAACCTGTGCGCTTGACACGCCTGATGCACCCGCTTATGGTGTGACACTTATTTGAACATAGGTACCGTGTTCACATTTGATTTGATACTATATTACTAAAATGAAATAAATGAATTAAGCTCGTGGACTTGACTTTTTCAAGTTGTTTGATCTTTTTTCATCCCAATAAACAAAAATTTTATATTGAGATAGTGAGAATCAATCATTTCATGAAATTTCACTTCATATTCGTTTTCCTATATTTGCTTCCCCGCTGGTTTCCCTTCCCATCATGAAAATCCCCTTGGTGTGTCATTTTCCATACGATTTATCAAATTATATTTATTAATTACCATAATAAAGAAACAAGTTGTTAAGATTTTGGATTTTGATAAGTAAAATTTCGGACAAGAAGCCGTTGTTAGAAACCAAGCAATTATTTGTTGATTTGACACTCAAATAAATAGTAAAATTGTTGAGTTGGCAATAAATTAAGATCAGAGATAACTTCAATATTTAGGCATTTCATTTTTACAGCAAAGGCTTTTGGGCAATTTCAGAATACCAAATCATTAGCGGCGATCCCATCCCATGGATCTATGGGCCTAAAAAGGTCAGAGTAACGCTTAGTCCTCTGGCTTCGCCTTAACGTTTTCAGGGCAGTCCATATATTGGGCCAATAGTACAAAACATAAAAAATCCAATAACTTTTGCAAAAGAGGATATGTTTAGGCTTTGGGTTGTCTGCGTTCTACTGCCTCCCATTGTCATGAAGGAATAAAAAATAAGCCCAGAAATGTCAAATCAAGTCCAATTCAATGAAAATTGAGCGAACCAAAAGGGACAGAAATTTACATCATGAAAATAAGAATCTGGGTTGGTAACTTCGTTACTGACGATGTCGAATTTGGAATTGTCTGATCCAAACAGGTATTTTCCATTTTGGCAAGAAATCTAATTTTACAATGCAAGAAAAGACCACTAACTAACTTGATGTAGTAAGTGCAAACTATCAAAATATTTGAATTTCTTATTACAAAATCAAAGTTAAATATTACTTGCTATTTATAGACAAGCACATCTAGAATCCTTACAAGTCTTTTCGTTTTATTTTTACACAAAGAAACTATTTTTACAACAAGCTCAAATGAAAATTATTTTTACAATTATTTACAACAAGCTCAAGTGACTATTTTTACAATTATTTACAAATATACAATGAAAATTATTCAGTATTTGTAGGTATGTACAGAGAGATCATTTCCAACGTGCATGAAGATCCTGGCTACTTATGACAGTGTTGGGCTGAGGAGAGCTCTCTCCTTCACTGAAACTCTCCAAGGAATAGACCTCCTAAGCTCCATCTCTCCAGTAAGTAGAATAAACTTCAGGGATGTGAGCAACTCTCCAGTAATCTTCACCGTAGTTATCCAGGCGGAGTGTCCTGATTAATTCATGAGGCATGTCAAAGAATTCAAGCACATTCAGCTTTGTCAGATGTTCAATACCTAGCGGTACCTTCTCCATGGATTTACATCGCTGAATGCTTAGCTTTTCTAGACAAGGCATTGCCCCCACCTGTATCTGCATCCCTTTGAGTTCGTCAAAGTTATCAAGGCAAAGACGCTTCAGCCTTTTAAATCCTCCAGCCTCGAAGCAGAGTGTCTCCATCATAAACCTGTACTAATTCAAGATGAACAAGGTTCGGAAGATTTTGAAGAGAAACTAGTGGATCTTCCACTAAGCGGCTCCATTTTAGATATACTTTCACTAGGCTATGAAGATAACGGATCCAATGCGGCATGGTCTCCAATCTGCCTCTCAAGTACAGCCGCTGAAGCAATGGTGGAGGGGAAATGAGGTGTTGAACATCGATGGTCTCATCTTCTTCTATGGATATAATAGATAAAGCACGAAGACATGTCAGCTTTTCAATAGATGAGCACAATTTCTTCCCATCTTCCTTCCTCAACTTTGTAATGCCTAGTCTCCTCAACTGAGTGAGCCTCCCCAATTCTGCCAATATGACATTTCCCTGGTCTACCTCTATTAAGCACAGCTTTTGAAGGGATTGCAACACTCCTATTTTCTCCAGAGCTTTAAAGCCATATTTTGAGTGGAAGTAATCATAAGACTCAAACTCATATCGGTAGACTAAAAGATGGCGGAGGCGTTGGAGCTGTAGGACCTCTACCGGCAATTCAGTAACATAGGCATGTTTAAGATCTAAGGTCTCAAGGTTCTGAAGCTTCCCTATAAACCTGGGAACAACTGTTACCTTGGTTTCCCTTAAGCTCAAATACTTCAAAAAATACAGGTTTACAATGTCAACGGGAAACTTTGTTAGAGGAGTAGCCTGCAAATCAAGCACCGCAAGTAGCCTAAAGCCTTCAGGAAACAGTTTATGCAAGGATGGATCTTCTTCGACCCCAAACATGAACAGAGAACGCAGTTGAGAAACACACCTGTTTTGCAGTACATTTTGCAATGTATTGTGAATTGAAAGACGTCGAGCTTTGTCAGGCCACATTGCATTTTGTTCTTTTGCTATGACAGCAAAGTTCTGTTCTCTGGACTTCAATATGATGATCTCTCGCAGAAGGTCATGAATGCGACATGACTTCACCCTTCCATCACTGGTTGTCCCTGCTACTTGTATCAAGCTTCTGCTTAGGAGCTCATTAAAGAAACCCTCTGCTACTTCTTCTTGTGTCTTTCCTTGTTTCAATTCAACAAACCCCTCTGCTGTCCACAATCGTATCAGTTTCATAAGATCAATCAGATGATCCTCAGGAAAGATGCTCAAGTACAAGAAACATGATTTTAGATAGTATGGCAAATCATTGAAACTGAGTGACAGTACTTTCTTCAAATTCATAAGCTTATCATTGCCATCAATTTCAGCACCAAGACTACGACCAACCATTTCCCATTCATCTATTCTTTGCTTGTTTTTTGTAGCCAAAACACCACTGATAGCAACAATAGCAAGGGGCAATCCCTCACACTTCTTCAAGATTTGTTTACAGATTTCCTCTAAATGGGGAGGACAATAGTTTCCACGGAAAGTCTTCCTACAGAACAACGTCCAGGACTCTTCAGAAGGCAAAGGCTCCAAATTGTACACCGCACCTTCAGATTCTATTCGAGAGGAAAAGGCTAAATCAGCATTTCGTGTGGTAAGCATCACTCGACTGCCACAATCGTTAGCAGGCAAGGCAATTTTGATAGCATCCCACTCGTTAATGCGCCATACATCATCCAAAATAATTAGGTAGCTTCTTTTCTGTAGCCAGTTTTTAATTATAGTTTTCAGCTGATAGCTGCTCATGCTGTCCACTCCTTCAGGGACTGGTTTACTAATTACTCTGGAGAGTTGTTGAACCATTTCTTTAAGGAGACCCTCCAACTTGAAAGGTTGGGAAACCGTGGTCCAAGCATGTAGAGGAAAATGTTTCTTCACTTCTGCATCGTCATAGACTTGCTTTGCCAAGGTCGTTTTTCCCAATCCTCCCATCCCTGAGAGTGAAATAACTTTGCGGTCTGTGCCACCACCGACCAGCCATCCGATAAGCTTCTTTTTGCTCTCATCGATGCCAACTACATCAGTTTTATCCAAAAGAAGGGCATCCCATCGGCGGTCCTGCCATGTATTACCTACACCATTGGAGCTTGACCCTTCATCAGCACAGAATTTCTGACGAAGTCTACGGTGTCCATCACAAATGTCTCTTATTCTTGAGTTGATGCCTTGTATGTCCAAAGCAATTCGATAACAAGCTTTCATGTTCCTAACACAGCAAGACATCTTGTGAAGAAAACCAGAGAGCCCCTCTCCATGATTATGTGTAAGGAGAAGCATGTATTCGTCGAGAATGTCCTCCATGTCATGAGCAACCTCTCTTATTTGCTTAACCCATACCTTCACCTCCTGATCAATCTCCTCAAATGCATCTGCAACCTTCAAAAAGGCCTTCATGCGCTCCAGTTCTCCCCTTACACATGCAACTTCTTCCCGACCCCCTCTCAACAGCTGCATCTCCTTTTCAAAGAAAGGTGCAAGCTTTTGCAGTAAAAAGTGCACTGCACTCTCTGCCATTTTCTCTCCACTTCCTAGAGTACAAAAGTCATTGGACTCTTCCCCGTTTTCTCCTTTACTTTCTTGCAGCTGACTTGTGCCTCCAACATTGCATTGTAAAGAAAACTTTTTGAGGCTTTGAACAAGTCCCCAAGGCATATGATGTTTTGAATACACATTGCATTCTTTCCCGTCTACTTCAGATAATGTCACTGCTGATGATTGTTGGGTAAGAAAATATTCTTTACTTGGGCAGTAAGAGTACTTTTGAATGCCCACTAATTACAAAGTTAAATTTCTTTGTCATTCCTATGTGGTCTTTAGTATTGAATTACCAGGAAAATTTCCTCTTAACCTGTCAGAAAAGTTATCATGAAGTGATGAATGCTTTTGCTTGGTTTGTTAAACAAAAAAAAAAACAAAATACTACTGCTTGGTTCACATGCATTATCACTATCTAAACGATTCTTTTTGCACTTTCTAAGAAATGAATTACCAGCTAGGTAATGACTAGGCATTTGAGGAAATATGACATTTTTTATCAATTAAGAGTGACCTTAAATTTTTAAAATTGTAATGGAATGGACGCCTATATTGAGTTAGCTCATCAAGAATCAGTAAAAGAGTTTGGATGGATGACATGGCGTAGCCTTCATGCAGATTAACTATCAATAATTAACTAAAAACTTCCTCAAGTGTTTTACCAGTTAATTAAAATAGCTTATCCGAAAGTTGATTTGTGTTAACATTCAACATTATGTTATTATGTCAGATAATATTCTAAGTAATTAACTCTCATACTATTCAAAGTAACTCTATCAGCATTTGAATATATAGACTGCAGAACAAGGCAACCAAAAGCATGAAAGCATCATTTTGTTAAATTATGCAAAAGTGAAAACGGCCCATCCATTAGCATATCCAGCAGCCTATAATTCTTGAAATTGTCTTGACCATGAACAGTTTAGATTAGATTAGCTTGACTAAGACGAGAAGTAGATTTTGCACATTTAACAATCAAGTTTTGTTTTGTCACTATGAATTTGAACTTTCATATGCAAATTCAAAGCCTTTTGCTTTCCCAAAAAGTATTTGCTGAAAGTTATTGTGCAAGTTAGCAATTTCTTTGCTATGCCATTTCTGGTTTTCAAAACTTATTATAGAATAAATAATGTTGGCCTAATGCTTCAACTGAATTCTTTGACTATGCGAGTATTAAATTTGGCTGATTCTTGGATTTCCAAGAAACCTTCCTTTTTGTTTTTTTCAATATATTTCCTAATTTTTATTTTGAAAATGTTTGAAAATATATAATACTAAATTCAACCTCCAATTTCGGTTATTAAACCATTGCTTATAACCAGATGGCCATTCAAAAAAAAAAAAAAAAGCAATCGAGGTTTAACCCTTTTCATATTATCAGCAGAATGATGTTTAGTTTACAGCAAAATAATAAAAAAAAAAGGGTTCAAATATATATATATATATGGTGGAAAATTATAGAATAAAAGTAGTGTTCCAGTTTCTATAACCAACCTACACATTTTACTGCAGGCCACCATGAATTTTGGCACCACGGGCTCCCGTGCATCAGTTTTTGTCGTCTTGAGTTGTCAAATGTCATTTTTTTTAGCCTTTGGAGCATCAGCAGCGATTTCCTTGACATGAGCCCCATATAGTTTGGACTCCTGTTTTAAGACAGGCAATAAGATGACCAAACTTGTGCAACTAGTCCAAAGTTCAAGATACTCTAGTCATTACTCATTGAAGAAGACATGAGCTACATCATCAACCACAAACTTGAATGCGAACATATCTGAAGATGCATGCAGAAAAAAGTTGGAGAGAAATATAGAAAGGTAGAAATACAAACCTTCTTCTTCACATGGGTTCCAAATTTCAACGGTGCAGGTGGTACCATCTGCCCAGCTTCTTTGAGAACATTTACCAGCTCTCCAGCAAGTCCCTGCCATAAGCTTGACACTACTTGAAAAGGGATAAAATTGACTATGTTCCATTCAGCAATATCATTTATCATAACAAATTGTTTGAGAATGTTACATGGAGTTGAGAACATGGAACAAATTGTATTCTGTTTTCCTTATTCTGCTGTGTGAAGAATGTGTGAGTAACGCCCTTCTTACTGGCTCTTCCAGTCCTCCCTATCTGATGTACATAATCCACTGTAGTGAGAGGAAAACTATAATTGATCACTACTTCAACATCTGGAATATCCAATCCTCGAGCAGCAACATCTGTGGCTACCTGAAACGGAAGGTTTCAAAAAGTATCAAAATGTTAAACAGCTAAACCAAAACACCTGGAGAATTTCAAAATGTTCTTTATTTAAATTAATCAAGTTAGTATAAGTGCCCAAAGAAAGAAATCAAATCTTACCAATCAAGCTTTACAAATGCCTACAGTCAAAACCAACATAACATAGAAGTAACACCGGGTAAACTTGACGTGAAACCCAGCTGTGTTTTTCCTTTTTTTCTGGTTGGACCATAGTAACACATGATAAACAGTAGTAATGTGAATCTAGAGATCCCACTGATGTTGCCAACATTGAGTTTTCGGTAGAAAGTTATACATTAATTTAAAATGAAACAAAACAATTTGCAAGAGTATACTATCAAAGGACAAGTTCCCTTCTTGAATAATGATAGTGCCTTAGTGGGTTCATTTTGTGCTTTGCTTGTTGCAACCATGCATAGAAACAACATTCCAACAACTAGAAAAATAAAATAAAATGAATAAACAAAAGCAAGAAGTTGAAATAAAAACTACCACTGATTCTTTAGCAAGATTAAACCAACCAACAGTACTTAAATTCTGATGCTATTGCGTATCCAAGGCTGATTTTGAACTTTTAAAACCAACCAACTTGAAACATCAAGCAATTTTTGATAATTTATTCAATTTCATGACTCACAGTTACATGAATGTCACGTGACCACACCAAGGACATGTTGGACTGACATCATCAAATTAAATTGATTGGCGTTATTGCAGATTTTAAAGAGTTCAGGTGCTTAATTTAAAGTCAAAAAGACTAAGTGGAGACCTATAATAGCATCAAAGTTCAACAACCACCAGAATGCTACCCTTTTTATTTAGCGGATGAATGGAAATTTCAAACTTATTGATTTTAAATAAGTATGAGACAAGAGTGGTGAAGTTTACCTTCTCTGAAGCATATTTTCAATACGATCAGCTTCTGCCTGGTATAAGACAGATACCAATACTCTAATCCTGATTGAAAAGCAAACCTCTGTACCAATGGGGTGTAAAATCACTAGAAATAAAAATAAGTAAATAAAGATAATAAAATAACAGAATGATACAGGAGCTCTAGTCAAGTTAAAGTAACTTGAGTAACACTGTAACAGTATAGCTCCAAAATAGAGTTTTAGGCTGATGACAGCTGGCTTATTATCCCTAAAAGGTTAATGCCAACTACTAGGAAAATATCCTATTTGATAAAAACAATATTCATAATCTACTAGAAATCATAAGGATTTCGTGGATGACTAATGTAATGCAACTTTAAGGAAAATTTATGTTTGCTTGTATATTTTCTTGGCTTCCCCTTTTTTTCTATCTTTGGTATTTGATTTGTTTACTTTTAGTTTAATCTATTTGTAGACCAAAATAGTCTTTCATACAAAATTATCAAAGCCTAAAGGAAAATAACTTCATATTCTTATCAAAGCAATCTCCAACTGGAAGGATCAAAATGAAAAATGTGTACAATTCAACAGATGTAGTAACAAATGCCCCTTAGATTCATAGTATTTCTTTAGCAAAGCAATCAAATGCTCATAACGTGAGCAGTCATCCAAACCCTACAGACGAAAACAAAAACTACTAATAAAAGCAAGTGTATATCTGTACAAAATAAATTAACATGAAAGATAGTTTAAGTTCGTTAAGTGAAAACAGACCTCAACTATCTGCATAACATCATGGTTGGCAGCTAAATCTTCTGAGCCTATGACAACCTGAAAACAAATTGATTACTTTCCCAAGTAAATAGGAAACTATGAAAATGTCATAATGCATGAAGATATGTACCTTAATAGGATTAGGGTCCATGTACTCCTCAGCTAATCGATGAACTGCTGCACGCCATGTAGCACTAAACATTACCATCTAATGAGCTCCATAGGTTTAAAAGAGATACGAGATTCTCCAACTTAACTGCTCATGCATTATTCTACCAATATGCAGAACAATTTTTCTTAGCTTAATTGAACCTGATGTTATCAATAGTTAATAGCATTTACTCAAGAGTCATTATCAAACCTTTAAACTAAAGCATCAGTAAAATCTTTAAGCTTAGCACTGTATAGGAGTTTTAAAATTTCAATGTATCAATGAAGACACATACCAGAACATGTCTTTCCCAATATAACGCGAACATCCTCTTCAAATCCCACGTCAAGCATTTGATCAGATTCATCTAGGACCTACAAAATATTAATTCACCTTTTTTCCTTAGTGCTTACATACTCCATCTACTTAAGAAAAGAGTTATATAAAATATTTACCAAGTATCACCAAAAAGCTCTAAATGGAGGCAATGGAAACAGAATAGCAACTATAGCAAAGAAATTGAACTGGTTGTCTTGATTATTTTACACATTCAATTATGCCTGAAACAGCATTTAATGGCCAATTATGGAATAATAAATAAATTTGACACACAAACCACTGAATAATTGCTAGATAAAGTGCAATGCACGATAGTAATGACCTCAAAGGAGCATTCACTTACCACAAAAGATACCTCCTTAACTGACACACCTCATATTTATCAAATCCTTCAAACGACCAGGTGTTCCAACGACTATATCATAAGTTTAGAGGGAAATCCATTTTGTATTAGGCCAATATAAGAAAATTTAGTACACAGAAAATGTAGAAACACCATCCCTAAAATGTGCAAGCAGCATAAATTTAATCGAAAGAAGCAAAATGAATAAATTTAATTTAACAAGCAGAATAAAGCATCTAATTGCAAGCCACACCTTTTACATAATCGATTGAAATCATGATACCAGAAAGCTCCAAGTGTCTAACATTCAACCAGACAACTATACAAAATCTTTCATTTCCACCCATATTCAAACATAGTTCACTAGTTGAGTCACATTGCAACATGGCTAAAGATTAAACACCCATATTCGAACATATCAATCCTTTTGAAAGAAAACATATATGGAAGAATAAAACCAAAGAATTACAACAACAATTGTTTAAGCAATTCACTACCTAACCGGTTCCAAGAACATTTGAACCAAAAGAAGGAAAGAAAAAAAAGGGATGGCATACATTAAAAAGAACATATTAATCAAAAATACTAAATAAATACAGCCCGCATTAAAACAATAGATTAGAGAAAGGAGATAGAATAGCTTACAACACTAGACTTCAAAGAAGAAACCTGAGGTCCTTTAGCGGTTCCTCCATACAAACAGACAGATTTGACATCACATGATTTTCCAGATGTTAAATATCTGCCACCAGAAGTTGAAGCCAAAAGACTGGTTAAACTCTTAAAAAAAAAAAAAGTATTAGTAGATATTAGTTATTATGCACTTGTCACATATCCGAAAATGAAATTTCTCCGCATACTAAATGCAACATCAAGCCAAACGGATGCATACTTGTTCAGGCAGGGGAAAGTAAAAGGCAAAGCGGTTTCTTCCGCTTTGAGGATTTACTATTTGGCTTGCTCAATACATCATTGCCGTACCCCAAATGCCAATGTCTTGCCTGATCACAAAAGCCAATATCACAATTAAACAAAAAAAAAAAAACCCTCAGCATAACCCGACAATTCCAAAAAGAAAAAAAAAAAAACAGAAAAACAGAAAATTACCTTAATCATTTAACAAGTTACAATCTATACTAGTACAAAAAATCAAAGTACCTGACCCAGTTTTTGCAGTTCCAACAAAATCACGACCGTCACGCCTGAACAGGAGATGGGCTATTACAATCCTTGCAGCAATCCAAAACATTTTCTGGTAACTTAGAGTTAGCAAATGATTTCAACGGCGCATATTTCGCTTATTCAGCTTTTTGTCTACTCACTACCGCCTTCTCCTTCCCACACTGAATCTTGTTGTTTTTCTTTCCTTTCAATTTTTGTTAAACTCTCCATTTTCTTTCTTTTTTGTCTGATTTTCGCGCTTTCCTCGTGATTCCGTTCCCAGAATTCACGTTCTCCGTTGTTTTCCTTCTCCTTCTTGGGCTTTTTCTTGTCTTTCTAGCTCTCTTCGAGCTCAATTTCTTCGGTTTCTCGGTTCTTCTGCTTCACATTCTCTTCGCTTTGGTCTTCTAATTTAGCTAATTTGTTCTTGTTCTTTTTCTTGATCTTGAACGCCTAATTTCTCATGCTCTCCGGGACTAGCGGTTCCGTTGAGGGAGTCATTCCTTCCAGCTGGGCCTTCGAACAGAACCAAACCAAGAAAGCTTGTTAGGGGGAAAGTTAGGGTTTTATACTAGGGCTTTTTTCTTCGTAAATCTCGCGAACTTGAAACGCTACCTTCCACCTCTAATTCACTTGGGTTTTATAGAGATCCGTTGAGTAGGCTACGGCCCATTTAATGTGCCCATGGATCCAAGATCCACATTCTAAAATGCCCCCATAACAATATTTTTGAGTGAAAATCTTTTCGGTTTTATTCATCAAAACAATAAATTTTTTTATATTAATCTCTTTTATATAAAAAATTATAGTCAATAATTTTATAATTATTAGTAGGGTACTAAACTTTTAATTTAATGATTAAAATTCCATTATAAAAATCTCAAATATCAAAATATATAATTATTCAATATTAAAAATTAAATTTAACAATTTTAAATCAACAATAAACAAAATTTATTTGATTATATATTTCAAATTTTGTTATTTAAACGAATAAGACACTAACAAAATAATATTTCATAATTTGTTAATTAAATAAATAGATAACAAATATAGTAACTTTTATTTATATTCTATTTGTTTACATAAAAAATGTAAAATGAATAAAACATTTCATGAATAGTTCATAAATATTTTTAATTTATATTCATTTAATTAAATTTAATAAATAACCATAAATAATATTTTAAAATTAGTTAATTAAATAAATAAATTATAAATATAATAAAATTCCTTTATATTTTACACCTATCAAAATGTAAACTAGGCTCACTGATTAATGCTATTACCAAACTTGTAAACACATTAGACTCTAAGATTTTGTTTCCTTTTTGATAAAATCTTAAATACCAAAGCAAAAAACACTTAATGACATACCAAAAGTTGGAATTTTTCATTTATATCCTCAACTCGCCATCTGCCATATCAACACCTCTAAAACACCGACACGTGTATTACAGGCCTTCATAAAAAATCAAATGGTTCTTGCCGCCTAAGAGTGGCATCACCGTAAAGGGCAGTCAGTCTTCAATCAAAATAGCCTACCCCTTACAGTTATAAATTTGAATAATCAGCCCCAAACTCAGCCACTGCGACGGATACCCAAATCAAAACATCAGTTACATCTAAAAAATGAAGCAAAATTCATGTTTCGTTGTCTTTTTGGTTTCCGTGACATTCCTTCCCTTGGTCTTTTCCGCTGCACGGAGGGAGATTTTGGCCGGAGGATGGCAACCGATAAAAAACATAAATGACCCCCACGTGAGGGACGTTGCGGAGTTCGCTGTGTCGGAGTACAACCAGCAGTCGAAGGCGAGTTTGAAGTTAAAGAGCGTGGTGAAGGGCGAGATGCAGGTGGTTTCGGGGATAAACTATAAGCTTGTTGTGGAATCCACTGACGATAAGGATTACGAGGCTGTAGTTTGGGAGAAGGCCAATGGTAAATCCAGGAGTCTAACCTCGTTTAAATCTCTACTGGGTTGATGAATTTAAATCGTTTGGGTTTTGGAAATGTATGTTCTTCATGTTTTAGATTAATTTAATAAATAATAATGATTAGAACGTAAAATCCATTGATAATAGAAAAAACTTGATTTAAATATGAAAATATTGAATCTAAAATGAATTGATGACAATGGAGAAATTCGATTTGGTTATAAAATTACATGAACAGATTTAATAAAATTGAAATTTGTTACATAATCTAAAATCTATTGACACTAATAAGAAAAAAAAAAAACTCCATTTTAATATGAAATCACATGAACATACTTGATCCAAATTCAATTGCCAATCATGTGTAGACGACAAACTAACAATATGTCCATTTTCATATGCTATCGCATTTGATACACCAAATACCAAAAAGTTGGTGTTATACAGACTGTCATTTTTCTTAAAGTACCCTTAAACAAACGCAGTTCTGAAGCAGAAACAAAAATGGAACTCTACATCATTTTGTTTTGCATCTCCCTTCTCTTCCTCTTCCTCCACGGTTCCTCCGCCCGTAGCTTCCCTCTAATTGGCTCCCTATGATCGTTTGGGTTATGGCCCTCTTATGACTCTCCGCCTTGGTTTTGTCACCGCCATCATCGTATCCTCCGCTGAAACCGCCAAACAAGTCCTCCAAACACACGAGCAAACCTTCTCCGACCGCACTATTCCTGAAATTGTCGCCTCCTTTCAACACCTTCGCCACCAAAAAGTTGAGCAACTTTTTGAACACATCAAACAACAACGTGTTTCAGGGTCCCAACTTAACATAGGGCAAGCTGCTTTTCGCTACGGCACTGAACTTAATATCCACTATAATTTTTTCCATTGATCTCGTGGACCCTGAATTCAGTACAACTTAAAAACTTAACAATCTGAGGTATGATAACAGAAAAACAAAAATCAATAGTAAATCAAAATTTTCACCAGTGGCATTGATTTCTTTTGTTTGAACAAAAAGGGTAAAATTTTCTTGAACACTTTGAAGTTTATGCTAATTAGACACTTGTGGGAGTACCTCGGTCCTGGGACCGCCCAATTCCTCGAATCATAATGAGTTTTTCGAAGGAAAATGAAACCTAAACTTAAACTATTATAAAGTAATTCAAATAAATGTCTCTCTTTTCAGCTTATGGGAAATTCTTCTAATCATGTGAGTCGTACTAAGCAAAATGTAATTCAAATATTAATATATTTTCTTTTATGGGACATTTGATTGGGATTTTTTATCCAAAATTATATTTTTAGAATCTAATTTTTTGTTATTTGATTTTTTAATTTGATTCAAAAATTTTTTTACATGTTAAGAATTTTACAATCTCAACAAAAAAAAAAAAGAGAAAGTATGGAATAAAAAATTATTATCTTCTTTAGATTTTTTTTTTAATTTCAGAGGAAAAATGAAAATTTTGTCCTGTTTATCTTCATTTAATTGTATTTTTAGATTACATAAACAATGATACTTACCTTAAAAATGTAGTATTTTTATATTTTATATTTTATTTAATTTTTAGAATTTAATAAAATGATATTTTTAAAAGAAAAATGTGATCTTTGTTAAAAATATAAAAAAAATATTTTTTAGAATTAAACAAAATGACATTTTTAAGATAAAAACTTGATATTTTTAATAAAAAATAAAATTGACATTTTTAAGATTAAAAATTCAATATTTATTAAAAATATGAAAAAATTTATATTATAATAAAATTTTATTATTACATATAAAACTTACTATTACATATTTACAATAAAACTTAAAATTTTTACTTAAATAATTTAACAAAATTATTAAATAAATAATTTATATTTTAAATAAATAAAATTTTAAATAAATCACTTATTTATTAATATATTATTCATATTCAAAAAGTGATATATTATTTAATATCATCAATAATATAATAAAATATTTTATTAAATAATTTTATATTCTTTAAATAAACACACAAATTTTATATTTTCTTAAATAAATAAAATCCAAAAATCACACCATGTTTCGATATTACTTTATCTCCCAAAAATGGAAAGGGCACCTACCGACAGCCTGCGAAAGCTGAAAACACGTGATTGTTACGTCTCTTCCTTCCTGACGTGGCAACCACTGACATTCCATTTGTAAGGTGTGATCACACTGGCACTGCCACGTACAACAACTTAAGCGATGCAAGCCCAAACTCGTAAATATTTCAAATATAAAGGGCAAATCTCGAATTTAATATAATATCCCGCGTCACTCACAAGCCAAGCTAATTTACAAGATAGTAGAGTAAGGTAGTGTATCTCTCTCTGGAAGCTCACTCAACAAAAATTGGCCTAATTTTGGAGAAATTTTGGGATCTGAAACGGAGAGAGAATGAATCGCCACCACGATCCTAACCCTTTCGATGAGGAAGAAGTCAATCCATTTTCGGTATTGAATCTCATTTTTCCTTTTTTAATTTCTCTTTTTTGCCCATTTCAGATCTGGATTTTTGTTATGTTTATGCGTACGGTCGTCGGTTTCTTGACTTCTCAGGGGTAGTTTGGAGATTAGGTTTCGCGAATACTAGATCTGAAAAGCCTGCTTGCCAACATTTCGGGGATGAAATGGCTTTTAATTTTTGAATTTCATTTTTTTTTTTTTTGCAGTTAATGAAAAAACTTTGGTTTATATGATTTAATGAGTGAGAATTTCGGTGTATCATTTATTGACTGTAGTTTTTAAAAAATGGCTACTGTAATTTGGAAATTTATGGACCATAAAGTTTAATATAAGCTGAATATGAGCCTAACATGGTTCTTCGTTACTAACCTTGTGACCATGTATGTAATAACGTTGATACACGCTAGTCATGTTTATGGTTTATGGCTTTATGTCATGTTAAGTGCTGTTTTTCGGACAATTGATGCGTAATTGGCATGATTCATGTCTCTGGTACACATGTTGCTCTCGTATTTCTTGGTCGTGTTTTGTTATTTGGGTGTGCATGAAATTTAAATATATTTGACTGTGCTATTTAGTGTTACTTATTGTGAGTCATTGCAGAATGGTGGTGCTGTCGCCCCTGCACGATCACTGCCATCTGAACCTTTAGGTTTTGGCCAGAAACATGATGCTACTGTGGATATACCTCTGGATACAATGAATGTAATGAAGTTTCTACTTCCTTTACATTTCTATAGCTTGGATACACAAGGGACGAATGGATGGCTGATTACTTTTTATTGATATTGTTAATTACAGGATTCCAAGAAAAAACAAAAGGAGCTTGCAGGCTGGGAAGCTGATCTTAAAAGAAGGGAAAAGGTTATTTTTAACTCGGTGCTTGTTTAGAAATGTATGTCAATTGCTTTCTTTTTGCCTTAAATGAAGACTTGTTCACTTGATTATATCTTGTAATGCCTCCTTTCATGTGCACAGCGTTAATTGTTCTTATGCTTTGACTGCAACTTGAGTTTTGAGTTTGCTATTTAACATTTTTTTTTCATTTTCTATTTTTCAGGATATAAAGCGAAGGGAAGATGCTATTTCCCAAGGTAAGAGAAAAGGAGCGCAAGCAATTGTTTACCTTTACTTTCTTTTCGAGTGTTCTGATAAGCTGCTAAATCTTCCCTCTTTTTCGTTATGGCATATCAGTTGGTGTTCCTACAGATGATAAAAATTGGCCACCAATTTTCCCAATTATACGTCATGATATAGCTAATGAGATACCAGTTCATGCTCAGAGGCTGCAATATCTTGCATTCGCTACTTGGCTTGGTATGGAGGCTAATATTTCTGCTTTGTTGTTGTGGATATTTCTCTATTACTATCCATTGTTGCTTTTTTAGTGTTAGTTGTCTAAGTGTTTATATAAAAGCTTATCTTGTAGATTTTATGGGTATAAGTTTATGCATTGAATTTTATTATTATATCTGTTTCTGTCCCTCTTTTACTCAAATGAATCTAAAAGAATCCTATTCTCTTTTAGTTTTCTTTTCCAGTTTAATCCTCAAATACTTAATAATAATATTATTATTTTGTGTATGCATGCTTGTGCATAATTCTGGGCAATTTCATTGTTTGTGTGGATGCCATTACCATGTAATAGATTCAAAGTATTTTTTTTAATCTCTTTATGGTTTAAACCTTGAAAATCTCTTGTCGAGGCGATTCTTGAATCTTCATTTAACAGTTATAGAATGGTTTTCTTTTTTGGACAGTTTTTCGCAGTTATAAACAAATTTACACCTTCACCTTCTCTTTGTTTGGTATTACAGACGTGCTTTGGTTTTTATTGTTTCAGGCATAGTTCTTTGTCTTGTTTTTAATGTTATTGCCGTGATTGTCTGTTGGATTCAAGGTGGTGGTAAGTATATTCTGATTCTTTGACATTTTGCATTTGTTGTAGAATTTGGTCTAGGCATAAAATAGTATATATATTCTAACTTGGTTCATGCATTGTAGGTGTTAAAAATTTTTTCCTTGCTATAATCTACATGTTGCTTGGATGTCCTCTTTCATACGTGTTGTGGTACAGACCACTTTACCGAGCAATGAGGTAAATAATTAATGATTGGTTCAAATGTTCTATTTGTAGCATGAAAATAGAAATATTTTGGTGTGCTGATGGTTGTTCTGCTGGGTATTTTGTTTCTCCTTGCAGGACAGATAGTGCCTTGAATTTTGGTTGGTTTTTCATGTTCTACCTGGTGAGTTTAGTTGTGATGGCATCCTTTTTTTTGTTGATTTTTGTTTAACCTGTCTATTTGCTTTGTGTAGCTCCACCTTGGGTTTTGCATTTTTGCTGCAATAGCTCCTCCTGTTGTCTTTCATGGGAAGTCATTAACGTAAGTTCTTCATTCCCTAGTTCATGCCTGAAGTCAGAAGAATCTCGACTTGACTAATTTGTTGATTGTCCAAACTATTTTGGGTACAGGCTACTTTATTATAGAGTACATTTTAATTGCGACTGACTTTACCGATGATCCAGACCTTTTTAGCTGCTGTTATAGACACTGCTAGTGACTGGGACATTCTAGAACCTTTTTGTTCAGTTTTGCCTCATCAAAATGCTGCTCATTAACTGTTGGAATGCTCTTATGATTGTATCTTTTATAGGAGTCACACTCTATATTCTACGGTTAATATATTTTTTTATTGCCTCTTATTGCAGTGGTATCATGGCAGCAATTGATGTTTTCTCTGATCATACGGTGGCAGGGGTAAGTAGTATTGCTTTTGCATGTTGAAATTATTTATCTTTTATTATCAGCGAGTTGTAGGAATCCAACGATGTGCATTACTCTCTCTCTCTTTCTCTACCCATTTGTTTTATGGACAAATATAATTTGATAAGTTGGTACCATTGTTTGACAATGTACTTCAGAGGAGAGTAATGAAAGATATATGATCATACATTCATGGATGCTTTCACTGCAGATAGAGTTCAACTTTTTTTTTTTTTAACATTATTTTGTTGAATGTTTGGGCTTAACTAATTTATTTTTGCTTTTACAGATTTTCTTCTTTGTTGGTTTTGGGCTGTTTTGCTTGGAGTCACTGTTGAGCATGTGGGTTCTTCAGGTAAGAGACGGCAGATCTCTTGATTCATCATATTTTTAATTTATTGTTTTTTTTTTATTGAAAAAAAAAATGGCTATGCCATTTGATTTTTCTCTTTAAAATTTAATTGAACTCTAATTATCCTTCCTAGTAAGAAAAGTTTCTTTTACTCCATTTTTTTCACATTACATCTAATAATTCATATAATTAATAATGTTGCACATGAATCCACTTAGTTGCTTTTAAAGTTTTTATGAATCTATGGATATTGAAAGGATCTATGGTGTTAGAGTTCATCGAAGCAGTCTCATATTAAACTAAAACCGTTCATATTGGCCATTGACTGCCGAGATGCAAATTTCATTGTTACTAATATTGAGTTAGAACGGATGTTTTACGGTCCAAATTTGTTTGACTTTGTGGCTGCTGGCACTGTTGGTGATTTTTCTTGCTAGTTATGCTGCTTTGCCTTCATATTTAATTGCATTTGACTGAGTCTTACCATTTTTCTGTGTTGGTATGTGCAGAAAATTTACTTGTACTTCAGGGGGCACAAGTGAGATGCTGTGGCCCTATTTGGATTTTTGGATGATGCCTCATCTCAGGGTAGTTTAATATATATTTTTATAGCATATCGCGTTTATCATTTTCTTGTCGTATAGATTGATACAATGGGCTTGTATGCTGAGTGGATTCTAGGAAATTACAGTTTTTACTGCCTTGAGAGAGAGAAAGTCTTCAATTAATTTCCGATTCTTTAACATCGCAAATCGTTTTACCTTGTAATAATATTCACATTATTTTGTTAAAGCATAACATCGCATGAATGTACGAAGACATGACGTTAATTTCATCAAGGATGGGAAGACGAATGGAGATTTTGTATATACGAGACTAGACTACTTTACCCGTTCTTGAATTGAATAGGAATTTCATTTACCAGGGTAAAATCATTTCCTGTTTAAACTGAAGCCAATTCATACTTTATGCATAACTCACCCCCAAAAGCCCCCAGAAAGACAAACTGCTCGTGAAGTGTCAACTGGGGGGGGGGGGGGGGGGGGGGTGTACATGCATCAAGGATAAAGTTTCATTGAAAAAGAACTTATTTTTCTCATTTCATATGGTTATAGAGAGAATGCTTGAGTACATTGGTACGTAAGAAAAAATATGTACTCAATATTCGAAAATTGAACAAGTTGATCGTCTTCAACTTTTATCAGCAAAGAAACATGTAATATCTTGGCTTAGTAATATTATCTACTTTTGCAGTTGTATTGAATTTAACCTAGAAACACCAGTTCTTGGTTTCTACTTTCAAGTGTCATATCGTGAAATATAATTCAATAAAATTATATCGTTTTAACATGTTTGTCATCAATTTTTTCATATATCATATATGATTTCAACTTTTCAAGTCTTGATGTTCAGTTTCATTTGTTATAAAACAAAAATATTTAATCTTAATGTGAGAAAAAACCTGATTCATGGGAATATGACACAATGTCAGCTTATTTATGGATAATCTATGATGCTAGTAATAGTGTTTTACTATATTCTAATAACATATTCTAAACTATTTCAATAAAAATTAAGTTGTAAGACAAGCGAAAGAAAATGCAATTAAGTACAGAACGAAAGCAAGGACAAAAAGAATTGAAAATATTTATTCCTTTTTATATTAAAAATTTAAAATTACAGGAATAAATTATTTAAAAGGATGTTATAATCCAAAACATCCATGGATTCAGCTCATCATTTCAAAGATTCAACGTATAAGTTAGTATTTAAGTAGCACACTTGAAGGCTTACTAATTCATGTGAAAGTGGAGGCTGTAATCTTCCTCCCATTTTCTTGTTCATATTCTATTTTGGCATAAAACATGCAGCTGCAAAGACCCATAGTGCGACAAAAGCTTTTGCAAACCGTTGGGTGTTGTTCTTCTTTTCTTTTTTTTTTTTCCATTTATTTCTTTGTGGATGTGAAAATGGAATGACCCCTTTACAAAGGTACATAAACTCTCCCACGCTATACGAAGGAACACTCCAAAGACTGAATTGCATAATGCAGGGCACAGGACAGGCTCGATATCATCTCCACCACTCCACACCCCAAACCCCAAACCCCTCATCTTTAACCAGCCACCCCCTTCATGCCACGTGGCATATCAACATCCAAACTACAACAAATAACCACCAAGCTTCTCCATACCCTGTGTTCTATCTCATATCATATGCCATCACCTCATCAACAATTCCAATCTTTTTCATTGATTATAATAATATAGTAACTAAATATCTATTATCTGTTATAGTTTCACTTTTGCTAAGGAAATGAATTTCGAAATGATTATTTTATCCTTCGGCAATTGACTCAAGCCCATTCAAGTCCCTTTCCTTCACACCTTAGTATCACCTCCAAACTTGTCCAAAACTAGGGGCAGTCACAGAAACCCAGAAACAAAACACACCTCAGCTTTCCATCACCATAGCAAAACTGCTTTCTTTCTTTACAAACTGCCATCTGTTTTCTTCAACCTTTTCCTCTACTTATTTGTGTTCCAAAATTTTTCTTGGAAATCAAAGGACAAGAATCCAAACTTGTTTTTATGTGGTCTTTCAAGACCATCTAAACAATTTGCCAGGGCATCCCATTTTAGCACTTCTTCCTGTCTTAAAGCTCTCTAAATTCCCTTTCCGAGAAGACAGAACAAGAGAGAGCTAAGGAATGGCAGTTTGCACAGTATACACCACCCAATCTCTCAATTCAGCATGTTCAATCTCCACACCAACAAAAACCCACTTAGGTTTTCACCAAAAGCAGGTAGTTTTAGACAGCACTGGCAAGATAACCAGCAAGAAAGGTAGCAGCAGCAGCTCATGTGTCATAACCTGCTCAGTTGATCATTCACAAACGGTTGTGATTGGTCTGGCTGCAGACTCAGGATGTGGGAAGAGCACCTTCATGAGGAGGCTGACAAGTGTGTTTGGTGGTGCGGCAGAGCCACCAAAGGGAGGCAACCCTGACTCAAATACACTCATCAGCGATATGACGACTGTGATATGCTTGGATGATTATCATTCACTTGACAGAACTGGAAGGAAAGAGAAGGGAGTGACAGCACTTGACCCTAGAGCTAACAACTTTGACCTCATGTATGAGCAAGTTAAAGCTCTCAAGAGTGCTATTGCTGTCGAGAAGCCTATTTACAACCATGTTACTGGTCTCTTGGATCCTCCTGAGCTCATTAAGCCTCCAAAGATCCTTGTCATCGAAGGACTGCACCCCATGTAAGTCAAAAACTAGAAACTAGAGCCATTCATTAATTCTTTCTCTCTTTCTCTATTTCTGTTCATGAAATTTAGGAACTACCCTCTCACTATGTTTTGTGCTGTTTTTGATGAAAAAAGAAGATTCCATAACACTGATTTGTTATTTTCTGGCAAATAATAACTCTCCTTTTTCTCTGTTTCGAAACCCGAATGTCAAGTTAATTCAATTTTGATCGTTCTATAGAAGTTAGATTAATCAGAAGTTGAGTTTAGGAAAGACTGCAAATCTTGTTCTTAGCGAGTTGGGCCTGAATGACGACTTGAGCCCATTGTAATTATTGGTTTTACCTTCTCAGCAAAAGTTTTCGGCCTTACTATTTATTTATACTGAATTTCTATGTCTTACCTGTGGGCCTGTGGCGATAACTATATCAAACCAGAAATTCTGACTCAAGATGGGAAAGGAAAAAGGAAAACAGAATTATTAGAAAAAAAATGCTACGTATTGAATTTTGTGTTATACTTTATGACGATGGACTTGGGCTCAGTGACGTTGGAACTGGCCTTTCAATCAAGGCCAATAGTGTTACAGTTGTACAAATACTGGTCTACTGCATGTTAGTATTACTAGTTTGATTTTTATTTATTTCTATTATATTGCAGTACTTTTTTTTTCTTTTACTACAATTATTGATGCGAATTACAACCACTTAATGAGTGCTCTGTCCTAATATATAGGTTTGATGAGCGTGTGAGGGATCTCTTGGACTTCAGTATCTATTTGGACATCAGCAATGAGGTCAAATTTGCTTGGAAAATTCAGGTGACAAACTTTGTATACTAATGTCGAAATGTCCTGCAAATTCAATGCCTGGGTTTTGTTCATAAGCGACGTCTTACTTTGTTGGAAACATTTGCAGAGGGACATGGCTGAGAGAGGACACAGCCTTGAAAGCATTAAAGCAAGTATTGAAGCCAGGAAGCCCGATTTCGATGCCTATATCGGTAAAAACAATACATAATTCCCTGTTAATAGTTTTTTTTTTTTTTTACAAGGAATCCCATATGTATCTAGCAAAATGAGACCAACAATGCTAGAAGTATACAAACTTACGACCTTGTCAAATCTTATGGGCTTTGGACGTTTTGTTCGTGTACAAAAGTTAGACAATGAATCATTATTGTGTTTGGCGGGTGCAGATCCTCAAAAGCAATATGCTGATGCAGTAATTGAAGTGCTGCCAACTCAGCTCATTCCTGACGACAATGAGGGGAAGGTTTTGAGAGCTAGGTTGATAATGAAAGAAGGGGTGAAGCATTTCAGTCCAGTTTACCTGTTTGATGAAGGCTCAACCATCTCATGGATACCATGCGGGAGGAAGCTCACTTGCTCTTACCCTGGCATCAAATTCTCCTATGGCCCTGACTCTTACTTCGGCCACGAGGTATTCTCAACAGCATTAGATAAGATTTTCAATTTATCTTTAATGAACTCAAGTTTCAAACTTCTTGTTAACTCTTTAATGCCAATGTTCTTTTTTTCTTCTCTTTAGGTTTCTATTCTGGAGATGGACGGGCAATTTGACAGATTAGATGAACTCATTTACGTTGAAAGCCATTTGAGCAACATCTCTACCAAGTTCTACGGAGAAGTCACCCAGCAAATGTTGAAGCATTCTGATTTCCCTGGAAGTAACAACGGAACCGGCCTCTTCCAAACCATTGTCGGATTGAAGATTAGAGACCTCTATGAGCAAATTACCGCAAGCAAAACTGCAGCTCCGCTAGAAGCAACAAAAGCCTAAGAGTATGAGAGTTTCCTCAATACATAGGACTAGACCTTGGGTTCATAACAAATTATCCTCCTTTCAGTTTTCCACTCTCCACTGCCTCTTTCAAGCTTCATTTCAGTGTTAGGCTGTTGCTCTCGTAGGAATGAGTATGCTTCTATATATTTATTTTCTGTTGTAATTCTGTGGAGATATGTAATATAGAGAAACAAAAGCAGAGATCAAATTCAAGTTAAGAAGTTCGTAGAAGACGAACCTTTTGACATCATTTCCCCTCTTCTGTTTTCCCCTATTGCTAGTAACCATTTATGATGCTTATGATTTTTGGTTTTTTTTCTTCGAATAGGAGGATTGGCAGTGGAGCATGGCTATAATGATATATTCCTTGAATCTGTTATAACCTTTCTGATAATGATTTTAAACCACTGCCTACCTCACCTAAGTGTTTATTTTCATGAACAATTCACCACACGTGAAGAAAAGGGTGCTATTAATATGCAAAAAAAAAAAAAAACTTAGCATGAGCACAAACACAATAATATGGTCATCGAGTCCCTTGGCACATTCCGGATGGGAGATCTTCAAGAGCATATGGAAATATGGAAACTATCCAAGGCATGCTTTTGTGAGGATTATGGCTGGAACAGAAAACCCTATACCACGTTATTGATTTTATCGTTTTACGAATTGATTCTGGTCAAAACCTGATAGAAGTTATAGTATAGTAAATCTTCTACAAGTTGATGTCAGATGTACAAACCGAAAGCTCCCTAAATGGCAAAGAAGGTAGTGAAGAGAAGAAAATAATATCCGAGCAAATAACATGAAAGTTATTTTTACAGCATCTGGCTTCCAAATGCAAAATGGCATTCCCTTCAAGTTTTAGCCAAAGAAAGTCAGAAAAACTATATTTACAATCCGACTTGTCAGACCAGACCTCTACGAAATAGCAGTAAACTACATTCAACCTAGAATGCAGAGGAGTAATATATATTCGAAACTACTACACATTATGCCGAACTGCCAGCCAACTGCATCTCTATTTGATTGTAACAAACTTGTTTGTACCATGCCTAGCCCAGTGGTCCCTCAAGTCAACAGGATGAGAAAGATCATGACCTTCAGCTGCAAGTCTCAGAAGAAGTTTCAAATATGCACCATTGCTCATTTTTCTTCCAGCCATGCGGGCACCGGGTCTTGTGGGACTCATGGGGAGAGGATATTCTGATATATTAATAGTACAACACGAGGATTGCCAACCACTGGCACCCCACTTGTAGCACACTCTCACAACACCTGTACAAGAGCAAAGGGGGGAAGGCACCCCAGAGAAATCAAAGTTTGTTCCATCAAGATCAATGTTGAGATTCTTTTTCTCACGTTTGGCTACTGGAATGCTTGGTCCCTTCACCTTCTTAGGAACCGAGGGTTTCTTCTTGGGCTGCTTTGGCCTCAGAACCTTGGATGCAATTTGATTAGAACCCTTCATAGAAGGCTTTTGTTTCCCCACCTTCGTGGTTTTACCTCCCAAATCATTGTTGTTTCCTGACTCGGTTGTGGCAGCAATGGAACGAATGGGAGCAACAATAAGTCCAGGTTCATGGTGTATTTGAGTTTGTTGCAGAGAACTTAAGCCAGGCTTGGATGTGGGGTTGTAATTATAAAACCAATGAAAAGGTGAAACAGATGATCCAATGTCAGTTTCAGGCATCATGTTTTTATTGGAATATGACCCCATCTTCATAGCTCTTATTTGATTCTGCAGCACAACATCAATAAAAACATAATTCCAATTGGCACTTAAATTTCTGGAACATGAAATTTTTCTGTAATTATCATGAGATACTAAACGGTTTTCGATCACTCAAGATGCAAAAAATCCAAGCCCTTCTTAAGTCTTATATATGTTCTATTATCTATTCTCTTCTTTCTTTTTGATAGAAGATGGTAAATGTGCAGGCAGAACAACGAATATTTATCACTCTGCAATGCCATATACTGGCTTCAACTCTTTGCTAGTCAAAAGAAACTGAGAAAAACTTGCATGATAAACATATACATCTTTAGAAAATAAAGTGAAAAGTTCTAAAGGTATCAATAAATAGGGCAGAAAACAAGATAGCAAGCTCCACTAAACAGACTGCAAGACATAAATTTTATATTAAGAGAGGAAAAAATGTGAGAAACTCATTCCAAACTCCCAAGAAACTGAAGAATCAAAAACAAAAGCAGACTACATCAGAATAAAGCTACCTCAAATTCTGTAAATGGCTACTACGGAGCAGAATTTAGTAAACCCATGAAGGTTAAACGTATGAAACAAAATTTTGATAGCTAATAAAAAAGATTGCACAGAAACCCCATCTCAAAACAGAAAAATAAAAGGTAAAATCAAACCACATTAAGATGAAACCAACCAAACCCATTGATTAGAAAAACCCCATTTCAGGAAAAGCATCAAAGCAACCTTAAAAACAAAAGGAAACAAATAAACAACATATTGCATAAACCCAGTTCCCAGCCTGAAATATCGAAGGCAAAAAGACATCACATTTAGATAGAAAAATTCAAAACCTTTTAATTAACAACTGACAACCATAAAGTAAGAAACCCATTAAAAAACAAAGAAGATATTACGCTCTAAAAGCTGGAAACTATAAACTATATTTAAGTTACGGTGTTGAAAGGAACTCACAAGCTTGGTAAGATCTAGCAGAAAGTGGTTCTAGGCAAGCTTCTCTGCTGAGAAATCTAAGAACAAGACTATAGCTATTTGCTATCTGCAAAAGAAAGTCCGTGCTTGTATGGTTTAATGGTTTCAGTCTGTCTGAGAAATGAGCAGTGGAGCACCAAAAGCAGGGTAACTGTACTTGCTATCTTTTCTCTCTTTGCCTAAAAAATTGATAAAACATCGTTTTCTATTTGTTGCACGAGTTATCTCAAATCTCTAGCAAGAGTATCGTTTATCTCGAAGGACTCTTTACATTTTAACATTAGCATGAGGAACTATACGATGTTCCCACTATCACAGAAGCATGTGCCATCCGTTCCGTGGTGGCATAATCCTGTTAGTGCATTTGTCCTGTTCGAAATTTCCAAACTATTTCTATAAGAAAAACATATCACTTGAACCAAACCCATATTTGCTTTTTATTTTCCTTTTTGTTGTTACTTTCAATTGACATTCCGAGGTAAGCAAAGCGAGTGCATTTTATTAAAACGCTATTAGAAACACACAAGTAATCATATGATCAAATATTTGCAACATCATTTTTCGAAGTTGTACTAATGAAAGAAGGCTTTCTGTCTGTACAATAAATCAGTCTGGTGGGACAGATTTAGAGTCGTAACAGGACATGCAAATATGTAGAATTGTTACAACTGATGGTGTCAACCAACAACTGCGAGCAAGCTTTGCCTGATTGCTGGGACTGAGCAAAACAATGAACCAAATATACCAGTGAGACCGTAGGCAATGGCGCAGAATGGAAGGGCTTCAGGCTCCTTGGCCGACAATGCAGCTGTTCCCAATCCATGGGCACTGGAGCAAAAAAAGTAAAGATCAACATAAAGAGACTAGATGCATAATCAAGAACATATATGATGAGTAGGAAAAATGATAATTGTGAGAGACAAGTTCATAATCAAGCATAGTAATAATGGTGAGCTCTCACTGGTTTTATTGACTGTTGAGGTACATACCTAGATGCAGTTGCTATTCCCCGGGCAATAGGGTCACGAAAACGTAACTTGTCAAGCGTTGCTTGCACAAAATTTGCACCAATCAGACCAGTCACAACAACTGCAGCAGCAGTGACAGATGAATTGGCACCTGCAAGCAATAAAGACAAGCTATCATATCCACTGAAATTTATCCAATAATCTATACAGGTAACAATGAAAACATGATTCATCTCCATTTATGTGCTGAGTCAAAGTTTTTAGTTTAGTTATGTCATATATGAATCAGAAGATGTAGTTACTAGCAAATTTCTGAAGAGTGTAGACTATATAGTAAGTTATCTTACCCTCAAAAAAGGAAACAATGCTGAGAGCTAATGCCACAGTTATACATCTTGGTAGAATTGAAACAGTCAGACTTGGTTCTAATCCAACAAGACGTCCAACAAGAGCAGTTGAATACAAAGAAAACAAACTTGAGACAATGATAGATAAGAAAATCTCAGCCGCATGTCTCTTAACAAGCTGTAAAAGTCAAGAGCAATAGTTATTAGTTCACATAATAGCATTCCATTAAGTAGGGCAAAGCCTGATGATAAATTAGATGCTAAGACCTGCCATTAAGATGAATATTTTATAACAGCAAACTTGAGCTTAGGTGTAAAACTTATTGTTGGCTTATTGATCATTGATAATTGTGAAAGGCATCTTATGAAATTGTGTCATTTTGCTGGATGTAAAGGGTATGTAGTTACCTTTCTCTGTTTGAACATTGAGAAGGCAAAAGAAAGAATAACAGAGCCCAAAAATCCCATGAGAATATCACCAGCTCCAGGATTAGATGGCACCTTTGTAAGGTAATCTCCTGCAGGAATCAAGGGCAACATTGTCATATCTACATAGAATGGCAATCACATGTGAGCACAAAACTTAACACTGGAAACTTTTAAAGAATTGCATATTCGAGGATGGAATGCATATGTGACATGCCCATATTGTTTTTCCTAGAACTAAAGAATAAGGAAGATTTAACTTTTAAATATTACCCAAGACTGCATCAACTCCTGAACGTGAAAAGTACCCAAAGGCCACTGCTGCCAGATCTGCAGAGAGTGCACAGCAAATAATTGGATGAAAAACTTTTTTCACATCAGATGGCAACCTGAAAATCAGAAGAATGAAAATTGGTAAAACTTTCAAAAAGATATACAAATAATTAAATCAGAAAATTGTAGATATAGAAAGCAAGTATAAAAATATGCTATTGTTGTTATTAGGAAAAACTTTGTTCACATGAATTTGATCTAAAGAGGAAAATGAATTTTACCCTGAACCAACCATGTAGCCTAGCACAGTGGAGGCAAGTAGAAAGGGGAGGCATGTTCGGGCACTTGTCCCTAATGCTGTAGGATAAAATATTGCACTAACAAATGACACAAGAAAGATACCACCCCAAGTCCAAAATTCTATAGGAGAAAATGGGGAAGGTTTTGCCATAGGCTCAGCATCTGTCATTTCTGTCTTCACAATTTTTCTAATGGCAATAGCTGTAAAACCCGCAACACAAAGTGAAGCTAACCATCCTCCCACTGCATAAGAATTAAACACACTTAATTGAAACTATTTTAAAGATTAAAATGTTGTGACAGAGTTCAATAACAAATGCCAAACCATGGATTAAAAGATTTAACAGTAGAAATGCATAAATAAATAATGTTCTAACTCAGAAAATAGCATTATACTTTATGCAAGCTGTGAAGTTGTGTATGAAAGGACGGAGAATAGAACAACACCAATGCATTTCAAAAATTGGGGAAAATAACAGAGAAAAGAAAGAAGATAAATGAACAGAAGAAGAAGAAACAAAATTATTAAAACAAGGTTAGAAATGTAACTCTGAAGAAGCAACTGATATACACAAGTTTCTATGTTTATTTATCTTTTATATAGTTCCAAGTTGGTAAGTGGACTTAAATAAAACATGTGAAAAAGGAATAACAAATTAAGATAATTTGTGACAAATGAACATAAAAGTGAGACATTAATGACAGTGTACCTACGTTATAACAGTGAGTTTAGAATAAACTTAGAAAATATCACCCAGTTTTCTCCGGATGAATTAGTGATTCATTTCAAATTAAAAAGTACAATGTTCAAAACGATGATGACATTTAAATCAAACAGAAATACCTGTACATACATCCAAGACTTACAAAAGAAAAGGTTAAAACTTCCATCAGACACGCGCCGAACCACTCGACATAAAAGCTCAGAGGAAGTTTCCAGCTTTCACGCCATTCCCCTTTTTTCATCCCAAAAGTAAAACTTAAAATTCAACTTTCCAGTACAAAACACATGACTATCTACTAAAAATAAATATGTAGAAAAACCTTAAGAGGAAGGTTCCAAGTGTCACATATCTTCTATTTTACATTTGGAAGCAACAGTGTTTTGTGATTGTCAAGGCATTTTTGTTCACAGTATCTGATTCTTGGAAGAGAACAGTAATTGTCTACCCAAAATAAATAAATAGAAAAACCTTCAAAGGAAGGTTCCAATTGTCACATATCTTCTATTTTACATTTGGAAGCAACAGTGTTATGTGATTGTCAAGGCCCTTTTGTTCACAGTATCTGATTCTTGGAAAAGAACAGTAATTGTCCATGCTTATGAGAAAGTCAGGTAAATGAATTGATGCAGTTCGAACAAAGTAATATTAAACTAGTCAATCCAAGAAGAATCAACAATTCAGAAAATATCAATCTTAACAAAATTTATAACCAAAGGTTGTAGTATACCTATGATGAAGCATATCTTGAGGCCAGAAGAAGCAGGAATATCTCTAACAGAAAGTGGCAGAACCACCAAAGCCGGAACATAAAACAGTGGAAGCCATCTCTGAATGAACATGAGGGCTGGCTCAAAAAAGTTCATCAAGTTTGTTGCAGCAGCAGGGATAGTAGTATCTAGAATGACCAAAACAGAAAAAATACAAAACATTCCAAATAACGCGCTGGGAAACTTTATAGCAGCAGCCACAAAAGCTTTCTTCAAGAACTTATCCATTGCCAGAATTATCCCAAGCGAAACAACCAAGTGCAATACCTCAAATACCTATATAAAAAAAAAAAAGTCAAGAAACATTTGATAAAGTTTTCTTCTTTTTTTTTTTATTAAAAAACAAAGAAAATTTACTTTTTGAGAGATAGTGGAAGTGGAAATGTTGGTACTTTCTGAACCAGAGGATTTCACTAAAATTGATCTGCTAGAGCTAGTTTCTTGAGGACCCATTTGCAAGAAGTTGGAGTTGGGTCCAAGAACTCTAATGGGTAGCAACGATTTATGGGGAGCACGAGCACTAGAATGATTATGTTCATGCTTATATAAGTGAGGGTTTCCATTGAAAGCAAAAGGTGTTGTTGGGTTTGTAGGGATCCTGTGAAGGTTTGGCTTAAAAGTGAGACAACTAAAGGAAAAGGATTTGGAATCATGGTGGTTAAGAAGAGTAAGAGACAAATTTATGGGTGTGGCCACCAATGGAGTTGCCATTGAAACTGCAAAAGAGTGAGCTGAATTTCCAAGAAAGTCACCACCATTTTCCCCGTGTGAGGGGACGGTTATGATCAAAAGTTTGTATGGACGTAAAAAAACGTGTCATCAAACAGGATGAGATTTTGTTTCTATATGGTGATAGATAGAGGTGTAAATGATACATTAGTATTCGTAAGTTATTCGGGTTCAATTCAAAAAAAATTCGAATTCGGTTCAATTATTGTCGAGTCGAGTTCGAGCTCGAGTAGCTCGACTTATCGATCGAGCCGAATTCGAATATTCTTATATCTGACTCGAGTAGCTCACGAATCTAATTGAGTTTTTATATTTAAATATATTTTTATTTTTTTTAATTAATAAAATATTTCGAATTCGAGTTCGAGTTCGAGCATGAATAATTAAACTCTTATCGAGTATACGAATCGAGCTTATTTTTATATATTAATCGAGCTTAATCGAGCGAGCTCGAGTAGCTCAAATTCGATCACGAATCGAGCTCGAGTTTGAAAAATAAAATTCGATCGAACTCGAGTCGAATATCGAACTCCGAGTTATGAGTCGAGCTCGAGCTTCTCACAACTCGATTCGGCTCGACTCGACTCGTTTACAGCCCTAGTGATAGTCTGATGATATGATTGGTTAATTTACAGAAAAGTATACTTAAGCGAAACGATGAGACCTGTGAGTTATTTGATTGAAACAAAAAAAACAAATAGAGTGATTTATCATAAAACAAACTCAAATTTGGTCACAAAAAAACCAAGAGGAAGTTTGCTGTTTGCATTTCATTTGGGCCTCTATTGTAATTGGAACCTTTCAAAAGGCCCAAAATATTGTAAAATGATATGAGGAATTTGTTCCAGTCAAAGGGAAAAGGAAAAGGGTTCAAAGCCGAAAAACTGAGCCCAACCCGCTTTAAGAAACTAAAGCGTCTGGCCCTCAGTTTTAACTTGTTCACCTCGCTAATGAGTTACAGGTTATAGTCTAAAATTTTCTTCCTTCATACAGCGCAGATCCAAGCTCCTTTTACTGTAGATATAAATAATATATTAATACTTACAGACTATTCAGATTTAATTTAAATAAAATTTAAATTTAATTTAATTATTATCGAATTAAGCTCAAGTTCGAGTAGTTTGATTTTTTGATTGAATTAAATTCGAACATTTTTATATCTGACTCAAGTTGCTTACGAATTTAATCAAGTTTTTTATATTTTAATATGTTTAATTATTTTAATTGATAAAATATCTCGAATTCGACTTCGAATACAAATAATCGAATTTTAATCGAATATAAAAATTTAATTTATTTTTACATTTTAATCGAGTCTAATGAAACGAATTCAAATAACTCGATTTCTATCTCGAATCGAACTTGAATTAAAAAAAAAAAATTCAATCAAATTTGAACTGAGTATTAAGTTTCAAATTTAAAATCAAACTCGAACTTAAATTTAATACTGTATCTATTTGAACTCAATCGATTACACTCTTACTACCATATTCTAATGTTTGATTTTCAATTTGATATCCAAGTTCTTGTTTTTTCAGCATATTTACAGGAAGGAAAATCTCTTGATTATGCAATGGTAATATAATGGAAGGAGTTCTTGTGAAATTCTTCATTTTGGGATATATATGAAAAAAGATTAGTTTAGACAACGTAAAATTAAAAAAAAAAAAAATTTACGCATATTGTCCTTACATCAAATGAACATGGCTCAAATCTAATATTATTATGAAAAATATGACTTTAGAGTTAAATGGACCCACATACGGCCCAACAGTTGTGAAAGAGAAAAGAAAACCATTGGACCCTGCAAATCCACTTGCAAAATAACAACTACAACAGATCAGTAGCTATGGAAGTTCAAATCTTCAAGTAGGTTGGGACTCAAAAAGACCAAATTTAGCATGTTGGAACTTCAACCATAATTTCTAGAAAAATGCCTTAACTGATATAGTGATATGTACTTTATGCTAAATAATAATTACAGGAAAGGAAAGGACTCACATAATCAATGCCAGCTGGTAAGTTAAAAAAACCTGACAAAGTCGTTAAGACTCCATCTAAGCATATTAGTCCCTTGAAGTTCATGGTTCTGTTTCATAATGATAGCCATAATGGGGAGGGGAGGAGAGGTTATAGGCGTATTGGGGTGAGGAGCCATGGTGATAGACATCTTGGGGTGGAGAAGTGGGCTGATAGCTATGATGAGGGGAGGAGGTGGGATGATATAGATGATGAGGTGGGGAGGGGGAACTGAGATCACTACTTTGGGCATTGTCAACATAAGATTGGTGTCTATCAACTCTGACTTTGTCAACTCTAACCTCTACCAACTCCTCTTCCTCAAAGGATCGGAAAATCGGGTGCAAGTAAGCATCAGCTAAGAAAGCTTTTAAGTTTATATCAGGTTCTGTTGTCCAATCCATTATGTCCTTTGCCATTGCTTCCTGCAAAATAATGATGAAAAAAAAAGAACCTTAATCTATACTTGGACAAAATTTGCCCTAGTTAAAAGCAGACTGACAGACCACACAGATGAAAAAAGAACCTTTTTGCCCTAGTTAGCTATTTGCAAAGTGTAAAGTATGGAACTTACCTCCAGGGGATACTTTCTGAATGCAGGTTCAAAACGGTTTTTGCAATACTTATGGAAGGATAATGTCAATATGGGTAAGACAACAAGCAGAGGAGTTGAATTAGCAGCCTTTTTGGTGCTGAGCAGACCCAATAATAGAAGTTGAGAGATCAATAAGCTTGCTATTATGCGGCTGTGAACATGTGGCCAGAATGCAGCAGCACTCTCGTACTGTGGATTATAGACGTTAATTATCTGCATAATTAAATGGCAAAATGAGATTACAAGTAAAATTAAACCTCTTAAACAACAGCAAAATCTACAACAAAGTAACAAGATCTGCGAAAGCATTTTACAAATATTAGTCAACTTTTCTCTCTTGAGAAGCATCTTACAAATATTAGTAAATTTTTCTCTCTTGAGAATTAATTTTTTATAAGTTATTACCTATAAGCATCCTAATGAGAGTGAAGTAAACATAGACATTTCATTGTATGCTTCAAGTAACTGATTAAACTACCAGAACACCTTGCAGAAAGAGAAAGCGTATAAATATAAAAGCATTGTGCATAAACTAACCTGATGACGGTACACCAGGTAAGCAAAGGCAAAGAAGACTAATATAAAAGGAAGAAGAATGGGAGTAACCACAGCATATACAATTCCCAAAAGGAAATACAGTTGGAGACTTGGGAGAGTTTCTGGATAGTCCACACTGCCAGGGTCCATCGCCTTTTCTCTGTCTCGTTCAGTCTTCACCAGAAACATGTTCTTAAGATGAAAAATAACCAATCGTTTCAATCGGAGAATCTCACCAGCTATACCAGCCCATCCATCAACCATGATATATGTAATAAAGAAAGTGGCCTTCATTGGTATTGACACCCCTATGGTTCTAGGGATCCTGCAACAGCATGAATAGTCAGAACATGGATAAGACATTTCAAAGTTGTACACTAGAGATCATCTAAAATTTCCACAAAAAAAAAAAAAAAAGAATACAAATCAAAACAAGCAGGATGAAAGATGAGTCATATGACCTTAATATTGCTGTAAGCTAAACTTATGTTTCAATTTTTGGCATGCTATTATTTTACTCACAAGAACTAATTCTCAGAGACTAAATAATCCTTGCCATCTTCCCAGTTCACTACTGTTCATAGCTAGGCCGATGTTTGTGGAACCCACAAGCTCTTGTGGAACCAACTTTAAATTAACAGTAGACAGGAGTTGAGCTTGTGTCGGTATCTGAAAAGATCTGCAAGGAGTGCAGCATGTGATGGGTTACTATCCCCATATTAGGCATCTCCATCCTGGCATATTGAGGTCCACCATCGTAGCCCACATTCCAGCATATTGAGAGGCTCCCATTACTAAACTTATTTGGCACTAGGGACAATCGAAACTCAATAGGAATCAGTTTTATATCAGCCACAAATGTTTTTAAGGGAGTTCATCTAAGATTGCTATATATAGTAGTCAGGTTCCATTCAAAGGGATCTAGATTCGTAGGTCTCTCTCTTTACAATCACCAGAAGGCATTCCTTTTAAGACTCTTGTCCCTCTCCTCCTTCCTTCTAGATCACAAGTTTCTTCCACATCATCCATTCCACCAAGATACCACTCAGCCAATTAAAACTTTCAAATTTCAATGTCACATTAAGAGATATCAAGTAAAAGATATAGCAATTTAAGACAATTATATAACATCTTAAAATATTTATAAAAAAACACCAAAGATGCATGGAGTATTACTGGGTTGGTGATTGGTGAAGGAAAGAGTGCAATTGCTCGAAAGCTGTTCCAGTCACTATACTCCCCAAGAACACATTCACCAGCATGAAATAATAGTACTTTGCAGATGCTCGTCGTTCAAGAGTTGATAGTGCTATATGTCCCTCAATCTTCGACATGATCATCAAAACCGTAGGCAGTATATACAAAAAGATTTTAAGAGCGAGACCAGGAAGGAAACCTTGCAAGAAAGATTTGATGAATTTCCTGCATATTATTTTCAGGTAACACTTCGTAAGGATACTAAAACGATATACAAAGTTTCAAAATACTTATCTATTCTCTTATTAAATAATATTAACAGTCAGAAAGTTGCTGCAATGGTGAGAATATCATTGTGGGAAAGTCTCCTAAATTACAAAGACTATGAAAATGTTAAATGGGGGCAAAACAAGCCATTTTGAAGAAGAGGTCCCACAATTCTTAGCTTACAAACGAAAAATTAATTATATAAATTAGCAGCTTTTCAAATTTAGAAATTTTATTTAGCTTTCAATGACTTTGCTCGTGCATGTAATTTATGCAATGATCAAGGGAAAACAATAAAAGTATAGCCCTCAGCCCCCTGTATGGCATGAAAGAAAAGCTTGCTGCCCCAATATATTGTATGCAGTACAGCATATACAAAAGAATATAAACTATCATTTTATAAGTGATCTAAAGAGATAAGTCTGAAAACTTAGCACTAGACCTAAGGATGAATTTTAGCAGCAAATGT